ATATACGGTAGAAAACAACAAATAAACATTGATTTTTAAATGTCACTTTTTCCGGGAAATTGTTCTCTCCTATAGGTCAATTCTTTTGTAATAGTGAATACATCCTTTTTCTCATTTTTATCTTATCAAGAACCACTGGACCATAACAACGAAAATTAACACAGAATATTTTTGGTAAAGTTTTGTTCAAATGAAGGGTCACATCCTCTTTTAACGGATACATGTAGAAAAAATTAGATGGGGTGCAGGCGCAGATCAAGGAATTTTTTTCCACGGAGGGGGGGGAGGGGAGGGGAGGGGATCCCAATAAAAAAATATTTCAACCCAGAAATTTCTTGACGAGCCAAAAAAAAAACTCTTTTCCCAAACGTGAAAAACCTATTTCGTGTGTGTGTTTGTGTGTGTGTATGGGGGAGGGGGGGGGGGGGGTCGTTGACTTTTAAAGCTTCATACCTAAGACTTTTCATACCATTTTAACACAGATCCGCGTTTTCGAGGAAGGGTCCGTGTTTTCTAATGGGGGGGGGCATGGTCAGTTTTACTTGTTAGCTCACCTGAGCTGAAAGCTCAAGTGAGCTTTTCTGATCACCCGTTGTCCGTCGTCCGTCCGTCTGTCTGTCCGTCCGTCCGTCTGTAAACTTTTCACATTTTCAACTTCTTCTCAAGAACCACTGGGCCAATTTTACCCAAACTTGGTACAAAGTATCCTTGGGGGAAGGGGAGTTTAAATTTTTAAAATAAAGGACCAAGTCCCCTTACAAGGGGAGATAATCAAGAAAAGACAAAAATAGGGTAGGGTCATTAAAAAATCTTCTTCTCAAGAACCACTGGGCCAAAAAAGCTGAAACTTACGTGGAAGCATCCTGGGATAGTGAAAATTCTAAATTGTTAAAGTCATGACCCCAGGGGGTAGGGCGGGGCCACAATAGGGAATCCAAGTTTTACATTGAAATATATAGGAAAAATCTTTAAAAATCTTCTTCTCAAGAACCACTGAGCCAGAAAAGCTGAAACTTATGTGGAAGCATCCTGGGGTAGTGTAGATTCTAAATTGTTCAAATCATGACCCCCGGGGGTAGGGCGTGGCCACAATAGGAAATACAAGTTTTACATTGAAATATATAGGAAAAATCTTTAAAAATCTTCTTCTCAAGAACCACTGAGCCAGAAAAGCTGAACCTTATGTGGAAGCATCCTGGGGTAGTGTAGATTCTAAATTGTTCAAATCATGACCCCCGGGGGTAGGGCGAGGCCACAATAGGGAATACAAGTTTTACATTGAAATATATAGGAAAAATCTTTAAAAATCTTCTTCTCAAGAACCACTGAGCCAGAAAAGCTGAAACTTATGTGGAAGCATCCTGGGGTAGTGTAGACTCTAAATTGTTCAAATCATGACCCCGGGGATAGGGCGGGGCCACAATAGGGGGAATCTCAAGTTTAACATTGAAATATATAGGAAAAATCTTTAAAAATCTTCTCAAAAACCACTGGACCAGAAAAACTGAAATTTATGTGGAAGCATCCTGGGGTAGTGTAGATTCTAAATTGTTAAAATCACGGCCCCTGGGGGTAGGGTGGGGCCACAATAGGTATTACAAGGGGGGGAAGTCTGGTAATGAACAGCATGGCCAAAGTTACTCAGGTGAGCGATGTGGCCCATGGGCCTCTTGTTTAGTATATACATTTAACTGCCCCCAACCCCCTCTAGATCCGCGCATGGGGTCATTTGAAAATAGTATTCTCAAGAATCCCTGGACTAGAATGAGAAAATTTCCAACATAGCATACATTCATTTTTTTTTTCAAATATTGATTCCAGGGAGAAGGTTTGGGCCGGAAAGAGTGTTCATAATTTAACAAAGGAATTTATATATCCTCCCAAACGAAGTGTGTGGGTTTGGGGTGGGGGTGTTTTGAGTCTTTTGGAATCACAATGTCCGTCTGCCTAGCAGTCCGTCTGTACGTGATAGTTCGCCAAGGATATTATAACTTTGTTATGAAGAAACTGGAAGGTCATACTTGGTACAAAGACTACTAATGATCCGAAGGTGTGTCATGGTTTTGATCCAACATCATTCCAGCAAGTTCAAGGTCATTGGAAAAAATAGCAAGTATCATACTTGATACAGAAATTGCTTATGACAAAATTAAAGGGTTTGACATGACTTTCATCCAAGGTCATTCCTGTAAGTTCAAGGTCACTGAGAGAAAACTGTAAGATTACTGTATGTGTTATAACTTTTGAAGCTCATACTTGGAACAAAGATTGCTTATGATCCACCGGTTTGAGATAACATAGTACTAGACTGGCAGAAGAAGTGGCAAAATTCGTGCCTGGATTATAAATTTATAAGGGGTGGGAGGAACACAAGAAACTTTTTCTCAGATTGCTTGAGATGGGTTTTCCTGACCTTGAACAAAGGTTTTTTCGGCAAGTTCAAGGTCACTGGCAGATAAATATTATTTTTTTTCCACATACTATAACTTTGTTATATAAAATCACTGGAAGCTTTTACTTGATACAGAGATTGCTTATGATCCAAGAATGTGTTTTGACCTTGATCCAAGGTCTTTCTGGCAAGCTCAAGGTCACTGACAGAAAAGTGCAATATTCTTTTTCAGGTATATCTTTGTCATTGGGTATCACTGGAAGCTCATAATTTGTTCAAAGGTTGTTTTTGACCTTAACATAGGTCATTTAGGCAAGTTCAAGGTCACGGATATAATAAGTGTAAAATTCAAAAAGGTCTAGTCGCCCAAGTGGCGCAGTGGTAAGAGTGTCTGCTCTAGAGTCGTGGATTATGGAGTTGATCCTTACGTCGCAGGTTCGAATCCCACTGTGGGACGCAGAGACTGATCCTTCGAATGAGACCGTACAAACTGAGGTCCCGTCTGGCAGTAGGTGCTGGCACGAGAAAGATCCCTCACTGCTAAATGGCCATGTGTGCCGAGTATAGGTCAAAATTTGCAGATCTCCATCGGCAAATGGTGGCGTCTCCATATGATTGAAAAATTCTCGAAAGGGACGTTAAACAACATACAAACAAATAAACAAAAAGGTCTATACTTTTGTAATAGAAAAAACTGCATGCATTTGCATTTCACTGAAAAGATGATAAATATATCATCCAGAGTGTGTAATGGCCTTGACTTAAATTCGAGGTCACTTAGAATATGATGTTTTGGATGAATAGTCTGAAAGTATACGTGACTGTGATTTTTTTTTTATGTCGGTGACATAAAGATGGTGTTTGCTCTTAACCAGCTGCAGAATGTGTCATGGCTTGACGCAAAGTTATTTGGACAGTTCAAGTTCACTGACAGGGGAATTTTACATTCCTTTACTGTCTTTCTACTGTTGAAACATTGAAAGTTGATGCCCCTTACAGGATTGTTTATAACCTTAAAATGTTGCATGACCTTGACTCAAGGTCGCTCTGTCCTGTCCGGAGCTCCGACGGAAGACCTATTCGTTGCATTGCAACGAGCTCGGCTCTAGTTTATATACTGTCTGGTGAGAGTGATAAATGGGGAACAGATTAGAACCTAATTTATGAACTGTTAATGAATACATGTACTAGACTTATAATTTTGTTGATCCTGATCACCCTATTTTTCTTGCTTTTGGGCAACAAGGCTTCACCTTTCAGTTCATTTTATACTCTATGGATCCTCTAAATTGTTGTATTATACTCAGGTGACCGTTAAGGCCCCTGGGCCTCTTGTTTTTTTAATGTGGAAACTGTATTTTTGGTTGTGATTTAATTTAAATTATATTAGGGGTGTCAACGAGTAACCGGTTAACCGGGTACTCGATCGAACGTCCGAGTATCGAATATTAAAAATGATACTTGGTTACTCGGATGTGTATTTTTTCTTATTTCAAGGTACATATTTTTATGAAAAACTTATCAAAAAATAACTTAAATATGCATACGGGTAATTAGCGTGTCATCATCTTTCCATGCAAACACCCGTTATCGCCTATGGCTGTGTATACGAAGTAATTAGTGACCAATCACCTGGTACACAGCTGTTCTCACCTATTGTGGTCCTTAATTTTTTTATGGCTTCATTGATTGTTTTTCAGTGAACATCGATTAATATGGTCTATTATCTTCAATTCATTCTTAAATAATTTTAGAAATGCCGCTACCCACTTCAAAATTAGACTAGCAATCCAAACAACATCCGTTCCTTCTCTTTTGCCACTCTAATCATCACAAACCTGCGTAACAGATTGTCCTCCTTTTACGTTGATGAAATAGATCTTAAACAAGAACTGTAAACCATTTGTAATTTTTGATGTATTTATTGCATCATTTGTGTATATTTAATAAATAAATTTAGTACTAAAACCATTTCTGTTGGACTTCATGTTTACAAGTATATACATTCATAAAACATGACAAAACAGCTTTGGAGTTTAACAAATTAACAATTAAAAATTTACAAACTTGTATTTACATTTTACCGAGTACCCGGGTACTCGATCCAAAAAAAAACTGACCGATTTGACATCCCTAAATTATATCATATAATTATGTATTTTAGTGCAGTAAAACTTGGTTATAGCGTAGAAAATGTCAAATCAGAAGTTATAATTTTAAAAAAATTAAAAATTTGTCATAAAAAATATAAATTTCTTTATTTTTAACCTCTACAGGACACAGACTCTATTCGCTATATCTGTAAATTCTTTTTATCATAGTTCAGAGCTCGTTTAACCCAAAAATTTTGCAAAGTATTGTGAAGAAATTTTCTAGGGATCCCCAAAACTTTGCCATATCAAGAGATTCACTATATCCGTGTTCATACTAAATGAGTTTTATTGTATCTTTGTATATTTTACAACTTACATTTGTTATGGCATGCATGCTTCAAAAAGGGACTTCCATTTCGATTCAGTGTAAATATATAACAAAATTTTGTTCTTGTTTTAATAGAAAACACAGTGTTTATCAACATGTTTCTGTAGTTGTACATTATCTCGCACAGCTGATGAAGAGGCCCTTCTGATACCCCCCGCTATGACCTATGACTGTATCGCTCAGTGCTGGTTCCGATTCCTTCACATTATACAGAATCCTGTAGACATGTGTCGCCCAGAGATCATCGGTAAAACCCACAAATTTATGCAGGCTGCCATGAACAGTGACACTTTGGTTGATCCTACCAACCATGAGTGTCTACAGAAACTGCCTATCATTTTCTACAAGGCCATGAAAGGCGTATCTGTGATGGTCAACGCCTTCCTAGGTTAGAATATACTTTTATCTATAGTAATTAAGACACTTATAGTTAGGTAATTAATACATTAAACTGTGCATCATTGTTGATTCCCTAAGTACATGTATTAGGACTACCCTTAAAACAATTTTGTTTACCAATTTTAAAACAGAAGTTTGTATAAAGGACAAACACATTCCCAAGAAATCGATTTTAGAAGACAAGTTGCTAATCTTTATATATTCTACAGAATGATTTTTGTCAGTATGTAATGTACACCTGTACATGAAGAGCTTTTCCCAACAGTTATTTTTTTCCTCAGGTATTCCCCAGACTCAGAGCAGGTATGAAGATCAGGTAATCTCCACCAGTAGCAGTAAGCTGAATGCCCCATCCACACCCCCAGGTCAGAGAAAAACCGGCCGACCCATATCTGTCTTCAGCTCATCCAACAAAGGTAAGCAAGAAATGTATCAGGTTATGGGATGTATGGTATACCTGTTGTGCAATCCAAAGTCTTTGCTGTACATGTATACTAATTAAACTGAACTAAATTTAGCATTTCATTGCAATACTGTAAAACAGCATGCATCATTGAACGGTAAATTTCCAAGATTTAGGGCACTCTCTTAATCCTAAATACTTTTCATGAAGCAGACACTTAATAGATACATTAGCATTGTAAAGAAATAAAGGTAATCATAGATGATTGCAGGTACATGTAGGTAAATGATGAATATACATGTATAAAGGAATGAAAAGTAGCATGAGGTAGATTGACTGTAAAGTATTACTTTACAGGAAGCTCAAAAACAGCCAGCACATTAGTGACTGCACCAAAGTCCTCTACCCCTATGCTGTCCAGCCTGATCTTCTATGAGCCCCGCCAGTCCCTGGCCCCAACGCGGCCAAAGTGTGACAGTATTTTACACCTGTTTGGGGCCTGGTTATTTGATGCAGCTCTAGCCAGGGTCAAGTTTCACAACTGCCATAAAATAGTACCAGAACAAGGTACAAACACATTTCTAACTGTAGAAGCATTTGGTCTTGTAGTTTAGAATAACTTCCATTTATTCCTATATGTAAATGCATCATGGGCTTTAATCACCTCCCACATCTACAAACCTCAGATACAGGAGCAAGGTTGGTGGTTAAACCACATGGCTTGTGACAATGTTATAAGTTAATGTTATTTGATATGAAAGTTCTTTTGGCATTAATAACTTTATATCAGAGTAAATGTTAAGAGTTGTGACAAGACCAAAAAGATAATTAATTATTAGTAATTTTACATCATGGTAATAGCTGTGACTTGACTAAGGGGTTTTTATTTTACAAGTTCTCATAAACCATTCCTCAGGTTCCATCCATTCGGAGCGACGGTCCAGTTCTCTAACAGACTCGCGTAGGAATTCTGTGTCATTAGACTTCCACTCGGACTCTGTTTTGGTGTGTGACAACACGTATGAGAACGGGCGTGCTGAGGCTCTGGGTACACTCTGTAGAATTTTCTGTGCACATAAAACAGGGGAGAGCATTCTGCCTGTTTACTACTCTAGATTCTATTTAGCAATGTATTACGGTCTCCAGACTTCAGAAGAGGTAAGCATATTGATATGGCCAGTTTTGATAAGCTTGTGAACAAAACAGTTACAATCATCTTGAGATTTTATATATTTATGTTATGAACCTTCAGGATTCATGTCTATACTAAACCTCGTTATCTCAAACTCAATGTGAAAAAACTTCACACTTCTATGATTTGGAGATAATGAGGTTAAATATACATGTTTTAAAAAAAAGTGGTTAGGACTTTCAACTTTTCCATGGTATTTGAGATATCCATGTTCAAGACACCAAAGTTCAGCTGAATTTAACTATCTTTTTTGACTGATTTTGTTATACTGTGATATTGTTGGTTTCAGTATATGAGTGGACAAGTACTAGCCAGTGTCCTTTTTAATTCCTGTGATATTTTACGTGTGGACTTGGACGGAGTACAGATTTTACTCCCACACATATTGGATGCTATTCAGCTAGTGCTTAATGATCTTCCCAATAAATACAAGTAAGTACTGAGTTATACTCACATCTCATCATCTCTTCTGAACAACTACAGTCAAACCTCATTATCTCGATTTCAATGAGACCAAGATTGAACTTCGAGATATTCCATGATTCGAGATAACCAGGTAAAAAAACAAAAAGAATAAGTGGTTGGGACTGTCAACTCACTTCAACATATCCCTGGTATTCATGATAACTGTATTTGAGATAACGGAGTTCAACTGTAATTGAAAATTTAATTTTAATCTGGTTGCCCATGTAGTAAAATCAAGAGCAATTTACTTGTAATGAAATAAAAACTTTCTAAATTCCATTTGATGTAAGAAGTCACTTCAACATGTACATAAAAACTTTCAAGAGTTCCCTGAAGTCATCAATCTCTGAAATATGTTTTTGTTTGAATTGACAGAATTGATTTTGTTTCAGATTGAATGAAACCAGTAGTTCAATAGACTTTAAGAATGTAGATCTACAGAGGGCCTGTATTAACCTCCTGTTGACCACCCTTTGTTTACCCCTCCACTTCAAAGACCTCACCATCAGAGGTAAGTAATGCCCATCCCCCCCCCCCCACCTCAAAGACCTCATACCCCCCCCCCCCCCTTAAAGGACTCATCAGTGATAAGTACTGCCCACTCTCCCCCTCCCTCACCTCAAGGTCTTCACTATCAGAAATAAATTATGCCCACCAGCCCCAGTTTAACTCTTTACTTCAAGGACATCTGTCCACTAATTCACCTCCAGGACCTCAACATTAGAAGTACATGTAAATACTGCTCACAACCCTTTGTCTAGTTCTCCATGGACCTATATCCACTACTAATCAAGGACCGCACCCTAAGAGGTAACTATTACCTACCACTACTTTACATGAAAGACCTCAGCTTTATATAGGGGTAACCAGAAGAAGACTCAGAAAGTTTTAAAATCATGTATATTGTAGAATCCCTCTTCTTTACAGATATCGTATCCAGCACAGACACTGACGTACAGCTCATTACTTTTATATCTCTGAAGAGGAAGATCCTGGATATGATTATAGGGGCTCTAAAGACCACGACAGATTCCACCAACACACAGATGTTACTGGGTAAACAGCCTTACATTTCACTGACAGTCATACATACAATCTGAGATTCCAAAGATCGGGGAATTTCAAAGGATGCAGTATATTTGAATCTGAAGGATTAAAAAAAAATGAAAAATAGATTTTGAGTAGCCTTTGAGTTACTGTAAACCAACTTCTATTCGCGTGCAAGAAATATCCGCGAGTTTCGCAACCTCATTTAACTCGCAAATACTAATTACCGCGAACAACATATTTTGCTTTGTAGAAAATGTTTCCTCAGCCTCGAAATTTAATCATTGCAAACTTATTTCAAACTGACAAATCGCGAATAAAAGATGACACGGATAATAATTTATTAAAATTATTTGCTTTTGGTGACAGGAGGTTTGATGTTACTGGTGGAAGACATGGCAGTTTGTGAAGCAGCAGAACAAACAACGTTTCAGCCACATGATATCAGTGTGGAGTCCGACAATCCTGGTAAATATTACTGCTGTGTCTGTGTTCAAATTTAATTGTGGGGTATCCATGCTACTCCTAGTCTGAGTCCAGAGATCTCTTTGTTGTATGCATGTACATGTATTAGCTAATAAAACATTGCTGTGATCTTTCTACAGTATTCTCAGACAACAGTCAAGCGAGCCTGAAGACCTCGTCCTCAGAGTCGAGTTTTAAGGAGGGATCCTACCACAGACTGGGAAATTCAGCCCATGACATAGGTACACACACACCTTCTCTTCCAGCAGACGCTGGAGTTAAATGATGTAATCAGTGTGAAGATAGTAAAAACTGTGTTTTCTTTCTCTGACAGATTCAGCGTACGGTTTGTTTGGTGAAGCCGTAGCCTTGATATGTCATCGTCTGATGTCTCAGTGGAAATCCGACCTCAACAGTGCTCTGGCTGCCATGGAGATCTTGTCTGGTCTAGCTAAACTGGTGATCAGCCCTCCGAATCTGATGATGTGTAAGTGTACTGTGAAGTGGATTTGTGAGTTTATCGTCCAGCAGTGTAATCGCCCCGCCCCTGCCCACTCTAAGGACCTCCACAGTACAATAGTGGCCGCCTTCCGATGCCTCACTTTATGGCTGGTAGAACACAGTCGTCTGCTGTATGACAAGGAATGCCTCCATGTTGTCTTAGAAGTTGTGGAGCTTGGAATCTCAGGGTCCAAGTCACAGGTAAACACTGAAAGTCATGTCATCATGTCAAATGCTATCTGTGGTCTGTGCACTGTTATGTACGACACATGTTGCCTCATTTGGATTTTTTGTAGACCATTAATGTGACGTATTTGTTTTGTATATTGTTTTAGTGATTGATTTCTGTTAATACTGTACTTGTACATTTAAGCATACTTCCCTTAAATTTATGCATGTAATGACAGACTTGCAATATAACATGTTGCTAAATTCTTGGATCTTGGATAATACACTATAATGATAACTATATTTTCAATGAATTTAATCGCAAGCTGATAAAAATTTAGAAAAATAAATAAATATTGACATTTTCTTTAGATTAATGAAAAATGCTAGCCTTGCACTTCTTTTTCTTGGCAATATAACTTATAGTTAAATGCTTACAAACTGACACCATTAATTTGGTACATGTATGAAGCATGTGTTTATTTCAGAAACCCGAAATTCAGACCGTGCAATTAAAAGAAACAAAAATCCCCCCATCAGTTCAGGTACAGGTTGTAGTTAGATGTTACCTTTAACACTGCGGCTTCAGGCTGAGTTTTTCGCTTAGCTTCGACATGATCTTTGTAAAGCTGATTCATATATATACCTCTTCAGAGTCCATTATTGGATTGCTTGAATATTATTACTATGGTAACAATAAGTCACTCTTTGCACAAATCATGACTTGGTAATTAACTGGATTCAGATGCATAAAAGGTATTAAGATTTAACTGACATTTATAAGTTAGTGCTAAATTGGTATGAAAAATGACATGGTTTTGTTAACTGTCAGTTAAGTTAAAATGCCTTTGTGCTACTCAGTCCAACAATTTTACTTCATATTGCATCATTGTTTGCAGTGAACCTAACAATAAATAGACTTAATTTTAATGCTAAAAGCAATGCACTGCAATCTTCGTATGAGCATTATGATTTATGCATCATGTTTAAATTTTTGGCATTTATGGATAATATTTGATCTAATAGATGTATTCATTAAAATCTTAGAATTGATGTGATTTGCAAGCACTTGAACTAGTTCACTTTCTTAACGCAGATTTCCGTGCTGAATATTTAATACAGTTTTTTTTCCTGTGCATTTCTCCTGCTTTATAGAAGATTGGACGCAGCAAGTCTGTCCCTTCAGTGTTCCATAAAACCTTCTCTGTGCGATACACCAAGCAAACAAGCTTAGAGATGGTAACTTTAGCTAGAGCTCTTCATAAAACCTTCTTTGTGTGAATCACCAAACAGACATGCTTAGAGGTGGCAACTTTAGCTAGAGCTCTTCATACTCCAAGTCTACACTACACCCTGTAGTTAGAACTTAATTGGGGGGGGGGGGGGGACTTGGGGGTTCCTTGTTTCACCTTTCCACTCATTAAATTTTGAAAAGGATTAGAAACTTATTTTCTTTTGAGAATTCATTTGGGGTATCAGAGTTGTTAAATTTGAGTTTAATTTTGTATTGCATTGCACAGTAGTACCTGTGATTCTGTTGAATATACTTTCAGTCATACTTGTATACTACTTTTTATGAAATAATTGTAAACTTAGTAATTTATCATTCACAAGAATTCATTGATTTATAGCACAAAGGCAGTGTAACATCAGATGATTAACAATTTCTTATGATGACCATGAAGTATATATTAAATATTCTCTAGATAAATGAAAACTTCAAATAAATACCAAGCTTTCCATTCATATATACTCCACTGAAAAAAATTCTCATATAATCACAACAAACATGCCTAGAACACCCCCTCCCCCGGAAAAATATCCTTTTTGTAGGTTGATATAAAATAGGCATGTGAACCTTAAACATCTTAAGCATGTTGCATGACACTACTGAAGGCTGGTCAACCTGTAAAAGGCTGTGTATGGAAATAAGTGATTGCCGGTTTATATACTGAAACGCAAAAGAAACGCAACATCCTATTTTAGAGGGGAAAATTATATAAAGAATATAATTTTGTATCTAAAAAGTACGGATATTTTCAACTTTGTAAGTATCGATAATTTAACGGTTGAATGATTTCCATGCCATAACCGGAAGTTAAGTTTGAGCCCGCTTAACAGAAATCAAAAATTGCATGTTTAACAAAACATTTGACAGAAATATGGAGTTTTAAGGGTTTGTGTCTGTTTATCATAAGTAATGCAGCAATATTCCGCAAAATAAATTCTTCTTTCGTTTCCGGAAGAGATGCCAAGGCTTCCCGAAAATGCTCTAGCTGGAAAATCTGAAAATAAAGGTGATGGAAAATTGCAGATGCAAAAATGCACGACAACACGCCTCAACAGGGTCATACGTATTATTAGCATGAATGATAGTCCGTGGACCGGAAGTCCAAGTGTTACTACACTTCGCTAGGTTAGAGAAAATTCGACTTCGTCATCTGAAAAACGGACATTTAAAAATGGCAAAGAATATTTTTTTCGTTCAGATCTCGAGATTGATGAACCTATTGCATCGTGGAAATCAAGCTGCAATTGTTGTGCATGGCAGTCTTCCACGCTATAATTGAATGGCTGAGAAGGGGGGTGTTTTGAAAGTCTTGTGTTACTTTCTACAGTTAAAAGATAATCATTTAACATTGCTATCAAATCTCTGATGCTTTTAAATCGAATTTAACTCAACTGTAATCAGTTTTGAAAATCATAACTTAAAAGGTTCAAATATTTGTAGCTTACTGCTTGTTGCGTTTCTTTTGCGATTCAGTATATATAATTGACTACAGAATTATGTGTGTTAATCAGTGAAGTGATGCCAGGCAGGTTAAATCAGCTCTTTATCATGTAGAATTAGCCTTGTAGCATGACCCATGTTTACAGATTCTGACACATCAGAAGGTTCTCTATACTTGCTACAAAGCAGTCATCTGTAAACTTAATGTGTAATATTTTGCATATAATTGTGAAGTAGAGTATCTTGTCAAAAAAAAAAAATGAATTATAAATTTAAAGTTTTTTTAAAAAGGCAAAGTGAAAAATGAACAACAGAAAGTAGGCTTAGGTTGCAAAGAAAATTTTGATTGACCTGAGCAGAAATTATGGAATAAAAGGAAAAGAAGGTGTGCAAAATGGGTGCATTAAATTCATGATCATAGCAGCTACCAAATTTGACAAAAAACTATGAATTTGAATGATAAAAAAAAATATACATTGTACTAGCTTTAACCATCACCTAGAAAAAGCTAGCGTAACTATTTGACGTTGGGTACTAAATTTATTGATGACCTTGGTTACGTCTTTGCATTATGTGGCATACATAAACTGGTGTTGTTTTCTCCATATTATAAAATACATGTAGATATTAAATTTGTAACAGTACATAGTTTCATTTTTTGCTTGACTGGTTTTGTTCCAAAAGTTAATGCTGAGATAGTCAGAATTACTCTTTTCAGTTTAGTATTAATTTATGGTATGTATATGGTCACTAATTTTCCATGGAAATTGTCCCAGTGTACTTAAACTACATCAAAGGCATACTAGTACATGTATAGAGGCAATCTAAGAAATCTGCGTAATTTTTTACCCATGGATTGAACAAAAATTGTGATTCCTCGGAATTATGACCCCATAATTAAAATACAGTTTACAGTCTTTGTATTACAAAATCTGACAATTAGCAGCTAATTAAAGTGTCTGTTCAAGATACTAGTAGGTAAATATTTTGGCTAGGTAAGCTGCTATGACCTTAAACCCAGCCCACTTATAATGGTGGTAATGGTGAATCCAGTAAGTGTACTGGAACATAGGGCTAGTTTTTTTGCTATCACAGTGTATGGAGATTAGGTAAACATAGTTTGAATATGGAAGAATACATAGGTAGTTTTCATAATATTTGGTGGATTAGGTAAAAACTTTGTGAATTTGGAACAGAAAAATTTTTTTTGGTCATGTTTGACATTTCCTTAATGAAGATTGGGAGTGTGAACTTGCATACCACACACTCCTAGTGTCTGAAAGAAACTTAATCCATTTGCAAAACTTATATGTTAATGAGAAAATAATATATATATATATTGATATTATACTAATCTGTGTGTTTTTACTGGTATAACATGTAACATTTAATTTAAATTTGTATTTTTCTTTAGTTTGTTTTTCAAAATCCTTGTAGTTTTTTCCAAATTTACCTTAAAAACCTCATTTGTAGTAAATGGAAAAGTATTAAACTTGCTCCATTTATAACAATGTTGTGTGTTTCAGAACCGAGCAAGTGACCCGCCAAAATTTAAACAGGATAAACAGAGACAGCCAGCATCCAAAAGAGTCCAAGAGGCCGCAGAAGGGTTACTGACCTGTATCATACAACACGTGGTTTGTCTTCAGTTTTGTGATTTTAAGAAAATTCAACATTTTCTGTGAAGATTATCTTTGCTGCTGTCTGTAATTGAAGCCAGCTTTACTTAATATATTTTTTATAACAACGTTCAGGGTGCTTTTCCCCCTCCATGTGGCCCCGAGTCCCTATTTTCACTGCTGGATGAGAAATCCCTGTTGAAGTATGCCAAAGGAAACAGTAGTTTGCCAGAGCATGGGTCACCATTCCGATATTATGTCCTGGAAAACTCCATCATTGTGGGGCTCCTGGAACAACCTCTAGGAAATATAGAGGGTATCAGTTTTAATATCAGTAGAACCAAGACCATATCTTCAGTATATAGTTAAAGCCAAAAGAAATCTTGCAGATTCGGTATACCCGTTAATTTAAAAAACTATTCCTTTTTCACTTTTCCTAGAATATTTTAATTGATTTTTTCAAAAAACATTTGCAGACCCCTTACCCACAGTTACCGCACTGATTAGGGGACCATTTGGTCGACATGCCTGGGTCATGCAGCTTAGACACTCTCCCAGAGTCAAGCGAGTAAGTTTCCAGTATTCACATTGTTCAACTTTACTGTAAAGAGCTATACACGGTAAGGGCGTATTCCTGCCCCCATAATAGTCAAATTTTGAAAATATCTTGAAATGAGAAAAAGTGCATATATTGTATAAAATAATCCAAATTAAGACAATATATTATGAAATTGGAATATTTAGTTGGCATTTCTTGTCTTTGTGACGTCACAAACTATTTGGATTTCCGTTATTTCTAAAATAGAGGCCAAAATGCACAGAGTTTGTTCAATTTTGACTAAAGTATTTATAGAGCGCAAGCTTGCTCAGGTACCATATTCACATATTTCATTGATATTATCATTCTACACATTATATCAAAAGATCTAGTCTGAGCAGACCTGCGCTCGATAATTTCCAATCAAAATACCGACGTAAAATACGCTATTTTCTCTCAAAATCATTGCAATTTGGAATTTACGTCATTTTATTGACGTCATATCTAACTAATGATGTCATAGTTGATAAAAATATTTAATGCTATGAAGTCTGCAAATATCCACCTGGTTTAGAACATAATTAAAGATTTCTCCATCAAAGTTTTATTTTGGGGGCAGATACTGGCCACTACAGAATATAGTCCTTTACCTGAAATATACCTGAAAATTTTAAATAAGAAGGTATTTTACACAGAATTTTATGTTGTGGAATAAACTCTTTTTAAATCATTTATTAGGGATCCTCAAAGTCACATCTGACTGACCCGGGACGACCTTTGCCTGCAGAGAATGTGGGGACCCGTCATAACGTCAAACCTCGCCATTTCCCTGAATCTGTTGATTTAGTGACCCTGACCAAAGCGTAAGGAGATATGTTTATAGATTAGGAAGATAAAATCTAGTCCCTGTCTTGAATTGTAATCCTTGTCACTCATATGTACCTCTGTTATCTCCTCTAAAGAAGTATCACAGATAGTTCCATAAACATGAGTGTTGGTAAACCCAGTCAGGGCAAACTGTGATTTTGACGATTTAAAAACAAAATGGGTTTTCCACATTCTTCAAATTTTTGGTTTATGTCAGTAATTAGATCAGCACTTCATTGGATAGTTGTTTCAGGACAACTTTATAAAAAATTCCTTAATATGGTTTTTAAAAGAAAGGTTTACTTATTGTGTAAAGAAAATCATGTTTTTAGAGACAAGAGCATTCCTACTCTTGAGTCTTTGGTCACTGATGAGAAACGACCCGAGCTCAACAAACTCAAATCTTTTATGGAGAAGCAGGCTCAGTATGAGGCTCAGATCAGTCAGAAGAAACAGCAGGAGATGCAGAAAATGTCCTTCCCCAACCAGGACACAGAATGTAAACCTCCAAAGTAAGTTTGTAAACCAAGACACAATGTAAACCTCCAAAGTAAGTTTGTAAACCAAGACACAATGTAAACCTCCAAAGTAAGTTTGTAAACCAAGACATAATGTAAACCTCAAAAATAAGTTTGTAAACCAAAACACAGAAAGTAAACTTCCAAGGTAAGTTTGTAAACCAAGATTCAGAATGTAAACCTCCAAAGTAAGTTTGTAAACCAAAACACAGAAAGTAAACTTCCAAGGTAAGTTTGTAAACCAAGATTCAGAATGTAAACCTCCAAAGTAAGTTTGTAAACCAAAACACAGAAAGTAAACTTCCAAAGTAAGTTTGTAAACCAAAACACAAATGTTAATTTCCATCAAAGTTAACCAATAGTAATCCTATAGACTGTGTATATACGGACACGCAGTCTTTTATTTTTAGATCTATATACCTGTAGTGTTGAAATTCAGAAATTTGTCCCACTGCTGACTAAATCATTTTCTTCATTAGGATTACAGAGGAGTTTCAGGCAGCCCGTCTATTTTTGTCTCACTATGGATTTTTGTCGCTAGAAGCACTCAAGGTAAGGTCAAAGGTCAAAGCTCAATACCAACTCAACAAAAAATATTTTAGTTCCCATTTATATGATACATACCATAAGTATATTTTAAATTGAAAGTGATAAATTGTGTTTCATTTATTGAAGGAACAGAGCAATAGCAGCCTTCCTCCATCTTTGGTTACCCTAGATACCACAAACCCTGGCCTAGCTAATGACCTTGAGATGCTGGATACAATCGTGGCCCGTGACAATGATACAGTTCATGTGTTTTATGTCAAGTCAGGCCAGCGATTGCCTCGAGACATTTTACGCAATGTGGTATGCTTTTCAGCACAAATAAAAGTAACTGAAATAGTGAAGGCTGGAAAGCAATTCATTCTAGATTTAAAATTCTGCCCATAGATAACCAGTGTTGTTTTCTCATGTAACTTGCTGTATACCCTTACTTGTAGGGATCTCAACACAGCATTCAGATCCAGTTCTTGGAGTTCCTCCACTCTCTTGGTTGGCCTGTTGATGTCAAGAAGCATGCTGGATGGACTGGTCACATCAGTACCAGCTGGAAAATCTCCCAACCTGAAGATATTCAGGGTAAGTGTAGCAATTTATCATGGAAATATCCCGAGTCACAGATATCTTATTGAAAGTCATTTAAAAGTAACAACTGAGGGTCATTCAACAAGTGTTATCCAGAGATTGTGGAAATGTGGTACACGATTGTCTGATTATCATTGGAAAGTTGGAGTTGGAGGGGATCCCACCTAAACAGAATTGTAGCTCTTTTTATAAAATACATGTAGCTACATTTATGAAAACATGTATATTTAGATTCTCTTTGATAATATTTCGTGAAATTTTCCTTAGTCTTTTCTTCTCTACCTACATTGTATATAGTGTGGGATTTATTGTAAGTAGTAAATCATGTAAAATGAAATAAAATTAAATTTCTGTAAATAAAACAAACACACTTATAATAAATTGAAGCTTACAGCAAAGTGATTTTCATTCCCTGTGACTTTCATGTATATATGTATGGTAAACTTAATGGATATAACAAATTTTGCTTAAAAAGAAGTAAAATCGTCTGTCCCTGGCACTTCGTTATAAGCTTGTTTTACTGTAGTGTAAATTTCTATGGAGGATTATTGTTTTAGATAATGCTCCTCCCATGAGTACGGGTGGCAGTATCTACGATGGACAGCAGCAGGTGCTCTACTGGGCGGATGTGTCCTCAGAAGTAGCTTTTGTTGTTCCCTCCCTTGATACATTCAACAGGCTCCAGAATGATGGAGGTACTTTAATTTTTATTCTGCTATTGAATTAATGAATGTTTCAATAGATTAGGAAAAGAAATTGTTTTAAGTTTGGTGTGTTAGATGATATCAGATTAGATTTTTTTTATCCTTTACATGTATACTTGTATAATTCCAATCTTAATTTTATTTATTGATTTCCTGTGTTTTGTTTGGACGAGAACAAATTCAAGAAAAAGTTTACACATCGATAAATTCTCAATCAGAACCACTTTCTTGACCTAGCTTTTATTGTAAAAAAAATGAAACAAATCATTAGGCGTACTTCTATTCTGTGTTTTAGCCAAACAATTACAGAAACTTGAAATTAAATAAAAAACAAAACTGACGACATACAGGACTGACAGACGGGAATATTATGTTTATGTCAATGTCAGATCACGAGTGCAAATTTTGAATCCTCGACGTTCCTAATAGGCCTACAAAACAAATCAGCTCAGTTCTCGGTAGCGCTGTGATAGAAAGGGAAACGTACCTTAGACTCTTGCCTTATTAGCATCAAATTCATTTTTCTACATCCTTTATTCTGTCCTGTCTTTGAACAAACCAGAGCAAATCAAGGTTGTCGTCGGTCTGCTGCTTTCGTCTTAGAGCGTCTGTCGTTATATTGTCAACATGGCCTATATGCATGGTCAAGGACGAATTCTTTTGAAGTCTACTTGTATTTACGATATTTGTTGACTTAAACAATATTCTAGGAGTTTCTATAAGCTTACTTTATTAAATGTTTTGACAATTAAAGTTGAACTTTATTGACGTTCATCTCAATTGCGATTCATTTCCACTTCGCGGCATAAAGTATTCCTACGCTGTACAGAAATAACAGATTGTATGGAGGCTTCAAAGAGAAATAATTTTAAAACTTCATAATTGGAATTACAAGAATTAGACTTCTTTTTTCAGAATTTATCGATGTGTAAACTCATGCCTTTGTACCCACAAACTTTAGATAAAAGTGCTTCGCACTTTTATTCAGTTTGTGGGTACAAAGGCATAAGTTTACACATCGATAAATTCTGAAAAAAAGAACGTTTAATCCTATAATATTAGTACATAATACAGTCAAACCTTGTTATCTCAAAGTTAATTGGACCGAGGAAAACTTCGAGATATTCGAGAATTTGAGATATCAAGAGTAAAATACTTTAAGAATTAGTGGTTGGGACGGACTTCCAAATCACCTCAACATATCCATGGTATTAGAAATAGTATTTGAGATATCAAAGTTCAACTGCATACGTGTATATAAATCAAATTAAATTAAAAGCTATACTATTCTAATAACACAAGTAATTGAAATAAATTTACATGTTTGTATTTAAGACAAGTCACCTCAGATCACTCTCAGTATAAATGGAGATGTAACCAAGCCCACAACCCTGTCCCTGGAGAGACAGCTAGGGGAGCCCCGCAGTAAAGGCACGGACAGTCCCAGCTCTCCCCATGATGCCCCAACCTTCCGCACGCGTAGGTTTGGACGATCCTCGACAGTCACCATCGGACCTGATACAAAAATCTTTGTTGTTTGGCTGGAAAACTTTGAGGATCATGAGAATTTCCCAACAGGTTTGAAATGCATGGTTTTAAATATTCTATTGATTTCATACATTCTTTGTTAATTTAATAATAAGCAATATAAAAGAAAAAGAGGTTGATTGGCAGAATGTAAGTTAACTAGTCGTGTTTTCTGCGATATAGGAGATTTACTGCCTATGACCAGTACTGTTTTCTTTGATACAGGAGATTTACTACCTATGACCAGTACTGTTTTCTTTGATACAGGAGATTTACTACCTATGACCAGTACTGTTTTCTTTGATACAGGAGATTTACTGCCTATGACCAGTACTGTTTTCTTTGATACAGGAGATTTACTACCTATGACCAGTACTGTTTTCTTTGATACAGGAGATTTACTGCCTATGACCAGTACTGTTTTCTTTGATACAGGAGATTTACTGCCTATGACCAGTACTGTTTTCTTTGATACAGGAGATTTACTGCCTATGACCAGTACTGTTTTCTTTGATACAGGAGATTTACTACCTATGACCAGTACCATTTTCTTTGATACAGGAGATTTACTACCTATGACCAGTACTGTTTTCTTTGATACAGGAGATTTACTACCTATGACCAGTACCATTTTCTTTGATACAGGAGATTTACTACCTATGACCAGTACCATTTTCTTTGATACAGGAGATTTACTACCTATGACCAGTACTGTTTTCTTTGATACAGGAGATTTACTACCTATGACCAGTACCATTTTCTTTGATACAGGAGATTTACTACCTATGACCATTACTGTTTTCTTTGATACAGGAGATTTACTGCCTATGACCAGTACTGTTTTCTTTGATACAGGAGATTTACTGCCTATGACCAGTACTGTTTTCTTTGATACAGGAGATTTACTACCTATGACCAGTACTGTTTTCTTTGATACAGGAGATTTACTGCCTATGACCAGTACTGTTTTCTTTGATACAGGAGATTTACTGCCTATGACCAGTACTGTTTTCTTTGATACAGGAGATTTACTGCCTATGACCAGTACTGTTTTCTTTGATACAGGAGATTTACTACCTATGACCAGTACCATTTTCTTTGATACAGGAGATTTACTACCTATGACCAGTACTGTTTTCTTTGATACAGGAGATTTACTACCTATGACCAGTACCATTTTCTTTGATACAGGAGATTTACTACCTATGACCAGTACCATTTTCTTTGATACAGGAGATTTACTACCTATGACCAGTACTGTTTTCTTTGATACAGGAGATTTACTACCTATGACCAGTACCATTTTCTTTGATACAGGAGATTTACTACCTATGACCATTACTGTTTTCTTTGATACAGGAGATTTACTGCCTATGACCAGTACTGTTTTCTTTGATACAGGAGATTTACTGCCTATGACCAGTACTGTTTTCTTTGATACAGGAGATTTACTACCTATGACCAGTACCATTTTCTTTGATACAGGAGATTTACTACCTATGACCAGTACTGTTTTCTTTGATACAGGAGATTTACTACCTATGACCAGTACCATTTTCTTTGATACAGGAGATTTACTACCTATGACCAGTACCATTTTCTTTGATACAGGAGATTTACTACCTATGACCAGTACTGTTTTCTTTGATACAGGAGATTTACTACCTATGACCAGTACCATTTTCTTTGATACAGGAGATTTACTACCTATGACCAGTACTGTTTTCTTTGATACAGGAGATTTACTACCTATGACCAGTACCATTTTCTTTGATACAGGAGATTTACTACCTATGACCAGTACTGTTTTCTTTGATACAGGAGATTTACTGCCTATGACCAGTACTGTTTTCTTTGATACAGGAGATTTACTGCCTATGACCAGTACTGTTTTCTTTGATACAGGAGATTTACTACCTATGACCAGTACCATTTTCTTTGATACAGGAGATTTACTACCTATGACCAGTACTGTTTTCTTTGATACAGGAGATTTACTACCTATGACCAGTACCATTTTCTTTGATACAGGAGATTTACTACCTATGACCAGTACTGTTTTCTTTGATACAGGAGATTTACTACCTATGACCAGTACCATTTTCTTTGATACAGGAGATTTACTGCCTATGACCAGTACTGTTTTCTTTGATACAGGAGATTTACTGCCTATGACCAGTACTGTTTTCTTTGATACAGGAGATTTACTACCTATGACCAGTACCATTTTCTTTGATACAGGAGATTTACTACCTATGACCAGTACTGTTTTCTTTGATACAGGAGATTTACTACCTATGACCAGTACCATTTTCTTTGATACAGGAGATTTACTGCCTATGACCAGTACTGTTTTCTTTGATACAGGAGATTTACTACCTATGACCAGTACCATTTTCTTTGATACAGGAGATTTACTACCTATGACCAGTACCATTTTCTTTGATACAGGAGATTTACTACCTATGACCAGTACCATTTTCTTTGATACAGGAGATTTACTGCCTATGACCAGTACAGGACTGGAGCAGTACTCAGCCACGAGTAGTTCTTCTATGAGACAAGACAAGGACATCTTCATCATCTTTATCCACGCTCTACAGAACGGACTGTTCCGCATCCACATGGAGGGAAACACTGGAAGGCAAGTCATGATTTATTTTTATAATGGAACCCCCTCCCCTTTCCCCTCCCCCTTCAAGAAATGTGGACAGAATCAGATTCAGTTGTGTAGATATTTTACATACAAGAAAGCATTGGTAAAATTGAAAACTTTTTTTGATGATGATAGAATCTCCATGGCGATCCCTCTAGTGGACGGCATGGTGGTCAGCAGACGAACTTTGGGATCCATGGTTAGGCAGACTGCCATCAATATCGGTCGCCGGAAACGGTTGGAGAGTGATTCGTAAGTTATTTTTGTAGATTCTGATCATGCACCGTATATGTTAGCTTTAAATGGGCAGAATACATGGATTTTTTATTTGATGATAAATTTTGTGAGGGTATTGTTTCTTCCAGTTCTTTGATGCATTTCTGTGATTTCACATGATAAGTTATTGCTATTTAGGATTTGTTTTTCTAACTCTTTGATCCACCCCTAATAGGTTATTGCTTTATAGTGACAGTCGATTGTTTTCTAACTCTTTGATCCACCCCGACAGGTATCAGCCTCCCCATGTTAGGAGGAAAATCAAAATCCAGGAGACAGTGGATAAGTATCACCTGAAGATGACTGAGTCTGAGTTCTACACTGCTCTGTTCCAGGACGTCCATAAGTGACCAATACCCGAGAGCAGGAAATTTAACGAGGGCCAAGCATGAGTGTGATGACTTTTATGTGATGCTTTCTCTGGTGTCAATATGAAGTCTGTGAAGACTGTCATTTAATGACTACCATTGTCAGAATTTATGATTTAAAAGTTAATAGACTAGTCAACGCAAAAGATAAATTTTATTGAAGATTTTATTTAAAATTGATATTAAAGGTGCTATTTGTGTTGCATGTGATATTAAAACAAAAATAGATGTGAAATACACTATTTCAGTATAAGTGCTGTAAATTAGTTCATTTTATCTCCATATTTTGTGAATTGTACGATTTGTTTCATTCATATTACATGTATCTCAAAAATCAGTTGCATCCGAGTACAATAATAGTGTAAGCTGGTTTAATGAAGCATTTACACTAACTCTGAGGAATAAAATCTGAGGTAGCCATATAACCATATGGTAAAAAGAAAGGTATTTTCATCATACAATGCACTTTATTTTAATTATTTCTTTACTTTTTTCCTTTTTAATTTTTGTATAATGCATGATTGTTTCACAAATTTTTCTGCATTTTCTATCATTACGAAACTCAAATTCATTGACGATGAAATAAAAATTTGATCGAGACATGACTTTAACCACTATCTACATGTATATAGTCTACATTTTCAAGTGCAAATTTGTGAACAGTTTTAAATTTTACACACATTATAGGAGATCTGTAGATAACATGTAATTTATTAAAGTTTTATGTTGGAGGAAGAATGAAGCCAATGAAAGTCTTTGTATGCAAATATTTGAATATTTATTTATGTTCATATCATAATTTATCATTATTCAACATATGAAATCTATTGTGCAATAACAGACAATTAAATCTTTTCTGTGTTTTTTTTTTCAATAAATAATGTATGAAAGTACCATATTTCGTTTGGTTTTCATATTTGCAAGTTTATTATGTGGACCATCAGATTGTCATTTTCTAAAGGTGAAAGAAAAACGTTTTATTCAGAATAAGACTTGAAGATCATAAAGCACTTGCTGTGCAATGAAAAAAATTGAGAATATTACCACTTTTCATGGCAACTATTGAGATCGACCCTCAAGGAGAGCACACTGAAAGATCCTCAGAGACTGATGGTTACATTTCTGCAGCAACCTCCGAGAGTTTGCCGAGTGATTGCTTTGCAACCAATCCAGATCATTGAGAGATTTGTGGAGATTATTGAGAGATTAATTGTGATTAGGAGAGATCACTGAAACACCTAGAGACCACAGAGAGATCCTTAGGCACATTCAAAACATTTTGAATGCATTCTTTTAAAGACATCTGAGAGATCATGGACAGATCCAACAGATCATTGGGCAATCTTTCTGCCCTCTTTGACCATTCTTTCAGAGATTGATTACCTTTGCACATGTACATGTATATGATAAATCTTTTTTTAAAAATGTGAAAACCATTATCCTTGACATGGGGATGAAGCTATGATGTGGAGCCAAAGTTTTGCCAAGTATTACATGTTTGTGGGGAAAATCTAAGACAATTTAACTTCCTCTTCAGTTCAGTAGATCAAAGATTAAAAAAAAAACTTACTTTCTTTTCATTTACTATAGAACTTTCTGCTAAATGAAACAAATTAAAATGTTGTAAATTGTTTATAATTTTATTTACATGAAGCTGTAGTTACACTTAAAAAAAAAACAAATGCAATTGAAAAAATGTAAATATTTACAAAAAATGTCATCATAAAACAATATACAGACAACCAAACCATGTCACAATCATGTGTTATAGGAGCACTAGGAGGAATTATTTACAGGAATTTTATTAACATATATATATATATATATTCTTCACATTTCATTATGAGCACTATGAATTATTATGAGCACTGTATGTATACTTGTAGTAAATTAAAATAGATTTAGGTACTTTCCAATCTTCTCTCACATCTCATTCCAACTATATATTTATATATAAAACTCCCACACACCCAATATCTATTTAAAGATATGGCTAATCTCCTTACTTTCAGTTTCACAATCTAAATATAAAACAATGAGGGGTCAACAGGTCAAGTTTCACTTCCTCTAGCACTGAGTGGGCGGTTCTACTTCCTGGTTTATATATCTCCACTTCCACTGTGAAGGACCAGCTCAGACACATCTCAGATGTACTTGTATAGGGAATATTTAAAGCCCCGTTATCTACTGACCTATTTTTAGGAATTTTCCCGCTGACTAGGTATTTTAATCCTGCTGGGAATGCTTTTGTTAGGTGTTCTCACTCTTGTTTGGACGTTTTCCCCATCAAACACAGATTTTCACACAAAAATACTCTGTCATACTGTAAGGGAAAACCAATCACTACCCGCATTAACACATAGCAGTAAATTACCTAACACTGTTCACGAGGGGTCTCAGGACTGATTAAGTGAATGAACAGCTGCCCTCGTTTCATCCATGCCCCCTTGATCGCTTGCCACATTAATCATAGCTGCCACATTAGGGTCAAAGTTCATATCATTTCCTATGTTACAACCAAAGCTGTCAAAGGACATGTTTTGTTCCTGGTCTCCAAGATAAGCCTGAAACATTAAGTCCACATTATCTTGTTCCATACCAGAATTCTGTTGCAGTGCAGGGCCACCGGGCAGCAGGATATTTTGGGCAGGAGTTTGGCCGGGGTTGGAAGTCGGAGGCATGGGTAGACCCCCACCAATAAGATTCTGAATAAATGCGCTGGTCTCTTTTGTGTCTATTGTGCTCTGGTTCATTCTGTTAGTGGCCTCCTCCTGGAGTTTGCGATTTGCAATAATTTGAAGCAACTTGTTTTGGACGTCATCAGGAAGGTTAGCAAGCTGTTGTCGGACGCTGTCCGTGGGAGTTATGGTCACGCTGCCCATTGTTGTGTTGTCCAGAGTTCGGACGTTGAGGGAGGTGCCATCCTTGGTAAGAGTTGTCGTGACACTGGATGTTGCTGTCATCTGATGAGCACCTCCGCCCAAAATATTCTCCATGCTGTAACCCGGCACCTCGGGAGCTACATAAAGATAACATATTATAAACAATAATAAATAAAGCTGAAAGTTTATATATACTCTTTTCTTGAAATATTATTTTCTATAGAGTAACAGATATGAAGCCTATTTCATGTTTTTTAACCTTTTTTTCCATTTAAAACCTAAAATTTGTGTGTGTGTGTGTAGAAGTTTTAATCAATTGTCATTAATCATTTACTTGTCAAACGATGGAAATTTACCTTCTTGTTTGATCCTAGACTTTGTCGCCTTCAATTTGAGTCTCTGTTTAAGGTCATCTCCAGACACATTTACTGAAATAAATTACAAACACTTCTGAAATGATCCTTAATTTACTTACTACTAAATGACCATTGAACTCAAATTGTGAAATAGAAGTTCAGTTATAGTTGTGATGCAGGATAAAATTCATGTATTGACACTGTATTACTGATATGGCACTGGGGAAAATGGAGTCGTAACTTACCATCAAAGCCCCAGTTCTTGAGCTGATCAGCCTTCCTCTTTCTCTTCTCCATAATTCTGTCAGGATCTGTTACAAACATACATGTATTATGATCAGCATCACTGCATTATTAACATCATTACATTTTTATCAATAACCACATACTGATATTAGAGAAGGTTGAAATGTGCAGTGAAATGCATCATAAACAAAACATTATACGCATGAAGTACAAAAAGGTTTTTGTATGCACTGTTATGGATATATCTTTTTTTTTTCATATGCCATCATTCAATAACACAATAACCTATCTTATATAAATAGTGCACGTTTTTGAGAGTAACAGTTGAAATTGACACCCCAAGGAAAACCATTGTCAACCGACGCGTCAGCGGAGGTTGACAATGGTTTTCCGAGGGGTGTCAATTTCAACTGTTACCCTCAAAGACATGCACTATTTATTTTATTATACTGAATGTCTAATTGATTTCGGATGTCATAAAAAAATTCGGAGATCGTCTTTAAGTTCACGTTTAGAAAGCTTTCAAACTCCCCGCTTCTATTTTTCTCAATAAGAAAGCTTCGGAAAAGATTTACCAACCTCTTTATTGTTTGTTTGCTACTCAAAAAGTCCTTTATCATCTAAAGTTTGCACTCGCAAGGATGTTTCGTCTGTCGTTTGTTGTTTTCAAGTAAGCTACATCGGACGCAAGCTTTTATTGACGTCGTTTATTCGGCTTCTTTCAAACGCACAACCGACGTTTTGAGAATTCTATGGTGAACCGTACGCGCATGATTTGAACGCATGTGACATTTTCGTAATGTTACCCGTTGTCAAGTGTGTTGCTAACGCTGAAGGTAACATTACGGACTGTTAAATGCGTCTAAACCAATCAGATTTTAGTATTTAACATGAAAGTATAATAACTTCAAATATCACAGTTAAGGGAGCGTGTACATGTATGTCATAAAAAAAATAAGTCTTTATGTCTTTTTTAATCAAATATGGGCTCTCTATTCCTTGAAGTGTGTGCATCAAATATGCATTGTCTTGAAAGCAGTGAAACTAAATTAACACGGTATCATATAGTGAGGTACAATTTATATACAAATATACATGTATGTGTTTATTTGTATTATTTAACCCTAATCATGAGCAAAGATGGTGGACAATTGTAAATCTACCTGGATCTTCAGGCATGTAAATGAATGGGATGGGATCACTGGTTTCTGGTTCATTGTTGCGTTTGAGTTGCATCTTGACTTCCTTTGGTCTTGTGATCATTGTATCTTTGTAAGGTGGAGTACGGAACACAATGGCATACTGCAAAAAAATGGTCAGTAATTCAAAATGAGGAAATTCAGACTATCCCAAATTGTGTCATTTTAGCTTCTTGATTCAAAACAGATATCAAAACTCGGATTACATGTTTTTTTTGAAGAGCACAGCAGGCTCTAGTACAAGTCAAAAGGGTCAAAAGTCTAAACTGATCACACTGGAAGATAACCCCTAAATGAGTTCTTTATTTCAGAATCTTTGAAAAAGATCTCATTCCAGATAACTCTTCATCTCTTTTACACTACATTTTAAACCAATGCTGGCATCAATGTGTTAAGATTGTCCCAATTTTTTTTTTAAAGCGAGCCTTGAAAAGCCTTTCATTACCTGTCTGTGGATGTCATTTGTACTGAAGTCAGCAAAATCTTCCCAAAGACATTCACCAAACTCAGTCTCCTCATAAAACCTCACAACAATATCATCTGAAACAGGAAAATATTGTACATGAAGTTTTATATTTCATCAGTTCCATTGAAATAACACAAACCAGAGTATTTTTTTCATTTCCTGCACAGACTTTGGAAATAATTTGCTACATTAAACACACTTTTGTACAAATCCATGTCTGAAAATTTTTTACATGTATTTCCTTTCTAGCTTGTAAAAAGATATTTCATTGGTTAGCAAGCCAGGTGTAAATTTCAGCACACTGGCTTGCATTGGGGGTAAATATCTTGAAGTCACAATACATAGCTTCTCTATCAGAAAAAGCAGATAACATGACGACACGATGCCTTGTAGCACATAATAAATCTTATCAACAATTTGAAACAACATTGGTTGGACTTGGGTTAACAAAGAATTTATTTGGTTACAAAGGAAATAAATTTCTTATTCAGGTCCAATCAAGGGTGTACGGGGATTTACCCGGGGTTGTATTCCATTCACCCTTCGGCCTCAGGGTTTATGGAATAAAACACCAGGGTAAATCCCCGTACACCCTTAATTGAATCTGCAAAACTAATACTATCCAATACAAGATTAAAAAAGTCCATCAATGTTCTGAGGAGGAACAAAGGCAGAATGAATGATAAAATACAGTCCACAGAAGGGGAATGTTAGCTCACCTCTGTTGATTTTTTCACAGAGCAGAAAGACTTCATCTCCTCCTTTAGCTTTCCCTGACGATCGGTCGACTCGACAGATGATCAACTCGTTTAGAGATTCTACCAATAAAAAAAAAAAACATATTCAAAAAAACATTAAATCTTCACTACAACCAGATGTGTAGATGTATGCAATGTAAAAATATTTTCTTAACTAGGCTAAGCGAGAAAAATTCCTCAAACAATTCAAATCCAAAATAAAAGGATGCCGTTAGTTTTAACAACTCACTTTTATCATGAATGCAGTGAGATACAACGGGAGGAACGATGCGGGTGATTTTTCCGCTCTCGTCAGGCAGGAAAACTTGGAAACAGAGTCGGACCACATTCAGATCTATACTGTTGACTTTGTTTAAGTGTCTAAAGCCACCTGTAAAAAAAATTATGCAAATAATTTAATCATCACAGTGCACTTTAAATTGTAGTACAATTATAGGTGTTGGGCAAAACATCTCATAGTGTTAAATTATTGTTTAAAATCACAACTTTCAGAATTTTTTTTATTCAATCAGCATGAATTAATTGGTGTTTTACTTAATTATAATACATATTTTATTCATATGTTAAGATCAAATACCAAAAAAAAAAAATCTTCAAAACTTTATTTTATATTTGTCTTTATCTTATTTTGGTATTTCTTATATACCATATAAAAACATATATCCAAAAGCCACAAACTCACTAGTCAGTAAACAGAGGGGTCAGAGTTCATCAAAGGTTGAAGTTCACTTACTCTGAAATGGATCCACGTTGATTTCCTTTCTCTGTTTCAAGTTATTTTCTACGTCCTTTTTCTTGGCACACTGAATACCTAAGTGTGGAAAACTGCAAACAGAAAATGGCACTAATTAATGAAATGTCAGACACTTTAATGGTTGGTCCATACCTGTTGTTATTGTAAAAAACCTGATAATTATTTAACATTCATTACACAAAATATGAGAGGTTGGCAGCAATATATTCTTATAAATTGGATAAGTTTTAAACTACCAAACGTGAAATGAATAAAAAAAAAAATCCAATCATTAAAAAAAATTAATAATTTACATTCATTAAGATGATAATAAATTGATAATCATTAAGAAAAAAATGTAGGCAGCAACATTTTTGTGGTCTTTACTTTTTGTGTCATGGACTTCAAACCAATTAAATCTTTATAGATTACATTTAAATCCAGTTAAATGTAGTCAGAGTCCCACAAAAAAAGTTTAAATGTTTGTGACTTTTATTGATTTCCTCTGGTAATATTATACCCTATCATATATCCCAGCACTAAAACCCCTCTGTAGTTCTTTGTGACAATATACTTGTCCCTGATTTGGGTAATGCTACCTTACACCTGCTTAACCTCGTAATCATTACCAAAATACCTGGGAGTCAGGTAAAAGCTGTAATTGCACAGAGGCTAGAAATATTAAATTCTCAATTCAAAAACTAAAAATAGCTTATATTATATTCAATGCTAATTATAGTGATGAAAATTTTGCTTTAAATCTTCTTTCGATTTCCATCATTACCATGTATGAAGTCTTTGTCGAAATTTGTCACTGTATTCCCCATACACAAGAATACTGGGATTCACATGATAATGCAAACCAATTCTACTCAGTTATACCCTAAACTTAACCCAGATCAAAAGATTATACACTCAAAAAAACTTCTTCAGAGCTACATATAATAATGTCAGAGAATATCATCTAACACGATCAATATAACACCAATCCCCTTCACATATTGATAATTACTTCATAATTGTAGCATTACCACAAAAGAAAGTTAATGTTAATGAAGGTATGTGTCCAGAATGTCATGTGATTCCCGCACTAGTGATTTCAGCTGTCTACTTTTGGCTAGATATCCCCGACTGTTACCTGATCACATTGGTGTCCTTGACCTTTAAGGTGCACACTCCTCGTTTGCAGTCCCTCCCCACAAGGTTGTGGGGGTGGGGTTCATAGGGCTGGTCTTTGGTGACACAAGACACCACAATCACAGCTGTGCCATTGTAATTATGTATCTGAGGAAAGAAAATAATAAATTAAAAATAAACACATTATTTTGCACACAAAGATTTTGGTGAATATGTCATAGATATCACTTTATTCTCATGTATGATTCTGATGGAGCGGTGTGCATTTCTCTCCTTCATGAGCTGGGTAATGGCTACGAAACAGCCTCGGAACATTCTGAATAGCACACATATTGTTTATTCTACCGTACTACATCATCAAGAAATTTACCACTGGTCAATTACATTATACAAGACAATAATACAATTATCATAGTGTTATTATCTGTGTTTTGGTAAATAAGAGATAATACCCCCTCCCCTTTTCAAGTTCTGTCCCCCTCCCCCCAGACCTCAAGTTCTGTCCCCCTCCTCCCAACCCTCAAGTTCTGAAAATTTCTACTTCCTCACCTTGATGGTTGGAAATGTCTTTTTCTCTGAGGTACTGTTCTCCCCCGGAATGCTGCCTGCTGATCGACCCTCACACTCATAACGGAACCGAAGTCCCCTCTGCTTAGGTTGCTCTGTGATTTCCACGTATATTCCGTCTGGCGTTTTATTGTGGGAAGTTCTGCCGCCTGCCTGTTTGGGCGTCTTTTGAGGTTGTGTCTGATTGAGGGTCATGGGTGTCCCTGTCTGCATGAAGGGTTCCTGTTGGCTCTGGGTGGCTGTGAAAAAAGAACAATAGAGATTAAGCTACCTATTTGAAAATAATAGATGAAGAGTCCTATATCAAGGTAAAAGATACTGCAGGACTTCTTTCAACAGAGCAGGTTCATAAAATTGTGTAATTCCTTCCTACAGTAAATATGAACCTCTCAAATAATTAACTTTAAGTTGTTATTATGGATTTAATAACTTCTTTATAATTATCATGGACAATGCCTTTATATCTGACTAAAGAGACACTTTAATGATCATGCATAATGTTTATATTTGACTTAAGTCAATGTTCAAAATAAAAAAAAATGAAATTGGTTTCGTCTTTTTTTTTCCATTAAAAAGTAAATACATCTTGATAAGTAATCTTCACTAACAAGAAAGATTGCACAAGTGAGAAAAAGTCTTTCTTCATACTGTCTTTTAATTAACTTCTAAAGTTAGTCTAAACAGGTATATTTAAAAAAAAAAAAGAGAAGTTACCAATAAGTTGCTGCACAAGATCACTGTCACTAGGATCCATAGTCAGTAGTTCTGTGGTACCATCCATTAGAAGCCGACTCAAATCATTACTCCCCAAACCCATGGGGTTCTCTGTTCAACAGAATGAATATTTAGACGAAGACAAACAATCCAAACAATATGACAATATAATCAAGGAAGTTGACAAAAAATCGAACGGAACAAAAGCTGAAAACTAGTTCTGTAGCGTGACATAGAAAACAACGTTCATGTTTAATTTGTTTTTGAGTGTGGGAGTGAAGCACGACATTTGGTGGGTGAAGTGTTTATTTCTTGTGATCGACTGACGATCGAGATCATTAAGTCGTCACGCCTCATTGAACACAAAATTGTAAATTTCTACTTTTTCAATTGTTTTTTGATGCCTGTCATGCAATGTTATGTAGCTTATACAATAAAAAGTCTTCTTCATAACACTGACAACATGTTGTCAATAGTCTAATGTCTTGTTTTGACTAGATTGTAAAGCAAAATACAAATGGCGACCAAAATATTTCCACTTTCAGTTTGACAACACCCAACAAGTAAGTTATTTCTGAGAAATTTTATCTTTTTTGAGTTAAAATAATCTGCAATACATACCCAAACCAAAGTTGATCTCGGCCATATCGTAAATACTTTGAGTTATGCACGCTCTAGTATATTTCAGGACTTGGACTTTCCAAACGGTAAATTCAGTATGTGAAATTCCAAGACGTAATGGTGCTAAATTTAGTCTTCGTAGAAAACCGTGGGTGTTCGGCGAAGATCGTATCAACATTCCAAAGATACTGCATTGAAATAATTTTTGGGTATTGTCTTAGTTGCAATTCTAAACTTCTCTGGTAGTGTCAAGACAAGTATTATACAATTTGTTTCCGATTTTCAATTTTTCTAGAGTGCACGGTATTTTCCGGATATTTCCGCTCTCTTCTAATTGACTCGACGTCACATGAAAGTGGAAACCCCACTCTTATATTACTTGTTTATGCGGTTAATTTTTGTTCCAGAAGGTCGTAATTAATTGAATATATAATATAGTATGACAATTTCAGATGCAACCTGTAGATAATTTTAAACTAGACTATGTACAGATGCATAAGCACATTTTTCTTACATGTTAGTTTTCAAACTCTTTGGTGGTGGTGGTGGCGGTTGGGGGGAAGGGGGGAGGGGAGGGCAATGATTACTTGGAACATGATTTTATGCAAAAAAGTTGTGGGTTGTCGGAGACCTTGAACATGTTGAAAAAGCAGTAGTTTTATTTCGGAATACGAAATCAAGTTTTAATTGCAAGTCCCAACTTCCGAACCCATTTCTTCTGCTGTATAATTTGGTTATGAGATCACTCAGTTTTATATACAGTTAAATGATTTATCTCCCATTGCGACCACCTATATGCTATTCAAAATCACGACAGCATGAACATTTCTCAGTCACCACAGTTAATTAAGCTGCAGATGCGCAGTTGGAAAGAAATTTTACTGATAATCCCACTTCAAACGCCTTCGCTATTTTACTGAACATCGGGTATTCGGGTAGTCCCGAATTATCGTCATGTTAAATCAGGCCCAGTCATCATTTTAACCGTATATATTTCCATACTAGCTCAGTCTACTTATATTACGAAATAATCACATCATTTTGGTAAATAGATGATATAGACATGTACGTGGCGTATCCTGTGGGGATATAAGTCCCTACACTTTCACTGAAATTGCCCCGCAACTTTCCAAATTTTCTTTTTTTGTTTTATGTGTACCAACTGTTGATATTAGTTCCCATTTACTGTACATACCCTCCCCCCCCCCCCCATACTCTTAAAGTAGCGAGAACAGTGTTCCGATTACCTCTATGCATACTTTAAAGGGGATCCCCTTTTCTCCATATTCCATTTATAGTACACAAACACAATATAGAAATCATTAATGTCATAAATCAAATCAGCTACTGATCCAAAATGAACAACATATCTTCCCATCTACCTAATGTACACGCAGTGCCCGAGTATGAGTCGAAGAATTTGGGCGCATATAACGATCATTTTCGGCAGTAATTAGTTTCACAAATTCCTCATTTATATCTATTTTTTAAGACTCCTATAGATTAGTCCGAAATTTTGAGATGCATGAAAGAGGAAAAGAAGTTCAAATATGGGTCTCAGCCAAACAATTAAAGCACTTGTTGCTAAAATGAAATATGGAGTTAAGGAACAGTACTCATTGACAAGCTTAAACGTCCATTGAAACAATACATATTGGAGCAGATCAAACACGGATCTCTAAAAACATCAGAGGTGGGATCAGATGCCGTGGAGGAGTAAGCATCCCCTGTCACACCTGCCGTATGCTCCTTGTTATAATCGGGATAACGGAAAAATCCGTAGACAACTGAGTGTGAAAATAATGGCCTAACAATTAATTTATGTGAAAAACTTCAGTCAACATTCGACTTAATGATACTAGTAGATTGAATTTCTTGACAAGGTCACTGTATCGACTATAGAACTTGCGAAATGATGACTTTAAACGAGACCGTTGATATTCTTCTTTTATCAACTGCAAATCCCATTTGCTAGAACAGACACCTACAAAGGATCCTTTTTTCCCTCTGGGATCCGTTTGTGGAATACTTTACCATCTAGTATCACAGACGCCTAATCCCTATATAGACTTACTTAGTATTCAAGTCAGGGCTGGGAGAAATTGGTAAACATTAGGTGACAGTACTGTTTTATCCAGTTTTTAATTCTCCACTGCGCCTGTGTCCTTTATTCAAATTATCAAGTGCGATGGTGCCCACGAGGTCCTGCACTGTACAGGAAGAAGAAGAGGATATAGTAAAATCGCTTAAAGGGCACAGATGTTCCAGGCATCGCAAAATAATTTCCTGATAATTAGACAGTTGTGGGAACTTTGTGCTATTAAATATCATGTCGCCAATGAAGGGGGGGGGCTGCTACATACTTATTGACCCCCGACTCTATTTTTTTGTTTTGTTGGTTGTATAAAGAAAAGGGAGAAAGTGTAAAGATTATTTTCTTTTATAGTTTTTTTTTAATTACTATTATACCGCCCAAGTCTCTCTTAAAATATCGCCAAGCTGTCAATGGTTGTGGTGGCATTTTGCTGAATAAACTTGAAAGTGTCGCGACGAAAGAGATCAAATACCATGTAAAACACTACTGAGTAGAAAATTAGTTGTTTTATCCACAGGTGCTTGAGGACAGGAAACCCCCCCCCCCCCCCCGATATAGACCCCCGGGCCTTTTCGACCTTTTTCTCATATATTATCTTTCAATGACATATTTGTGATATAATCTATACCAACAATTCGAAAAAGTACCCAAAACAAACATTTTTTTAAAATCTACCCCACTCTCTACATTAGTCCGAAATATCTGACGTTTTCCTGGCTTTTTACGATTTTGATATTTTACGTGCCAGGAAAACGTCAGAACCGGCGCCATTACGAAAACTGGAAATTCGCCGCCTCCAACCGGAGGCGGCATTCTCGGGTTGATTTTCGATACTTGCGAACCGCATTAAATGTTCAAACTCACAACTTATCAATAGTACAACACTTTTAGTGCTCAACATCGTTTTTATGGTTTGTTTATAAAATATAAAATCCGATGAAAACATTTGATCTGTCGAGATTTGTTTTCATTTCGTGCATTTTAAAATCTTGCAAGTCCTGTATCGAAATGTGGAGTGGTGTTTTCTTTTCATCGATATTGGTGAGTACTAGAAGCATTGTGCTATCGATAAATTGTGAGTTTGGCATTTAATTTGGTTTGTAAGTATCGAAAATCAACTCCGGTTGGAGAAGGCGAAATTTCCAGTTTTCTTAATGGCGCCGGTTCTGACGTTTTCCTGGCACGTTAAATATCAAATCGTGAAAAAAGCCTGGAAAACGTCAGATATTTCGGACTATCTCTATATATAATTTATATATATAGGGGTCGCCCGCGTGGCGCAGTGGTTATAGAGCGTCTGCTCTAGAGTCGCGAAGTAAGGAGTTGATCCCTATATCGCGGGTTCTAATCCCACTGGGGGACGTGGAGACCGGTCCTTCGGATGAGACCGTATTATTCGAGGTCCCGTGTCGCAGTAGGTGCTGGCACGAAAAAGATCCCTCACTGCTCAATGGCCGTAAGTGCCGAGTATAGCCCTCCATCGGCAAGTGGTGGCGTCTCCATATGAGTGAAAAATTCTCGAGAGGGACGTTAAACAACATACAAATAAACAAAATATATATAGGGTAGGGTAGTAATTTTTATAAAATGTTTAAGTCAATTTTCCGAATTGATGATATAGAGATTATATCACAAATGTGTCATCCATATATGATTTATGAGAAAAAAGTCGAACAGGCCCGGGGGTCTATATCGGGGGGGGGGGGGGTCCTGTCCTCAAGCACCCGTGGTTTTAACGCGTCGTTTGAAATTAAAATAAAACAACTAGAGTTTTTTTTATGAGGGGGTGCTTTAAACGGTTTATTCTACCTATTCCAACTAAGAAAATCAGGAAGGAAAAGGTAAAATTTTATGTGGGAATAGGCGGAATACTGTCAAACGGACAAACAGATAAACAGACAAACAGACCGTATAAACATGTTATTACCGTATAAACAGTAAATAACTCCTGTTGGGATGGAGCAAAGTAAATTCGCTTTTTTTAAAATTGTAAGTCTGATCCGCAGATCTTCCGCGATTCGACACTGCTTTTCTGCGAAAAAAATCCTGCTTTTCCGCGACAAGGTAACTAATACTGCTTTTCCGCGATTATATTTTTCCGCAACTTACTGGTCCCCTACCGGTGAAACCGGAGTGGACTATAGGTTTCCTCTGAGTCTGTCCGTCCGTCTGTCCCTCTGTCTGTCTGTCAGTCTGTCCCACTTGGTTTTCCGCACTTTTTTCCTAAACGCTTGCAGATATTGAGCTGATTTTTTGGTTTGTTAGTGTATCTTGATGAGTTACAGATCAAGTTTGCATTTCGTTCCGCTTCATTGATTTTTGACGGAATTACGGCCTTTTCAATTTTTATGTGTTTTCCGCAATTTTCTTCTAAACGCTTGTAGATATTGAGCTGATTTTTGGTATGTGGCTTTACCTTGATTAGTTATAGATCAAGTTTGCATTTCGTCCCGCTTCATTAATTTTTGACGGAATTATGGCATTTTCAATTCTTAACGGGAACGGAACCAGATTACACTTGCCGGTAGGGGACTAGTATTGCTAATGCAATACTCTCAGAATGCTTGTTTTAATATGTACCCCTTCCGTTAGCAGGGTAATACCTTTTGATCACTGCATACTTAACACTGGATAAAACAAAGGTTAAAGCTGATCATGATTCGTAAAAAGAAGAGAGTTTTCTTGTCCGCCATATTAGTCTTCTCGAATCTGTCCTTTTCCAGTCGCTATATATTCACGGTTCAAGGTACATGTATTTTACTTCACGAGTTCTACCTGTGTACACGTCTCCTTCATTGTCATTGTGATATATTTGGCACGTCAGGAAAAAAGTTATCAAAAGATATTAGATATCAACTGCACAGGTCAATGCATTAGAAAGTGAAATAAACACAAATGCACCTTCAATGAAATAAAACATAAACAACAAGATGTGTTTGTGAAACACTGATGCCCCCGTATGGCAGCTTATGGCGAAGGTTAAAGTTTCTTCAAATGCAAGTCAAAATCCAGGCCAAAGATAAGAAATGTTGATACCCAAAGAAAGGTCTTGTCTCGAGGAATACACCTATGAAATTTGAAAGACCTAGATACAACTGTTCAGAAGTTATGGCGAAGGTTAAAGTTTTTTGAATAAAAGTCAAACGTCAAGGTCAAGGTCAAAGTGGTTGGTATCCAAAGGAAGATCTTGTCACAAGGATTACATATGTGAAGTATGAAAGCCCTAGCACCAACCATTCAAAAGTTATGGCCAAGGTTAAAGTTTTTCAAAAGTAGGTCAAACTCCTAGGTCAAGGTCAAAGGGTCAAATAGGTTGGTATCCAAAGGAAGGTCTTGTCACAAGGATTACATATGTGAAGTATGAAAGCCCTAGCATCAACCATTCAAAAGTAATGGCCAAGGTTAAAGTTTTTCAAAAGTAGGTCAAACTCCTAGGTCAAGGTCAAAAGGTCAAAGTAGTGGTTGGTATCCAAAGGAAGGTCTTGTTGCAAGGATTACATATGTGAAGTATGAAAGCCCTAGCTCCAACCATTCAAAAGTTATGGCCAAGGTTAAAGTTTTTCAAAAGTAGGTCAAACTCCAAGGTCAAAAGGTCAAAGTTGTTGGTATTCAAAGGAAGACCTTGTCACAAAGAATACACATGTGAAGTTTGAAACCCCAAGCACCAACTGTTCAGAAGTTATGGCTAAGGTTAAAGTCTCATAAAATTTTGCAAAAGTAGGTCAAACTCCTAGGTCAAGGTCAAAGGGTCAAATAGGTTGGTATCCAAAGGAAGGTCTTGTCACAAGGATTACATATGTGAAGTATGAAAGCCCTAGCATCAACCATTCAAAAGTTATGGCCAAGGTTAAAGTTTTTCAAAAGTAGGTCAAACTCCTAGGTCAAGGTCAAAGTAGTGGTTGGTATCCAAAGGAAGGCCTTGTTGCAAGGATTACATATGTGAAGTATGAAAGCCCTAGCTCCAACCATTCAAAAGTTATGGCCAAGGTTAAAGTTTTTCAAAAGTAGGTCAAACTCCAAGGTCAAGGTCAAAAGGTCAAAGTCGTTGGTATCCAAAGGAAGGCCTTGTCACAAAGAATACACATGTGAAGTTTGAAACCCCAAGCACCAACTGTTCAGAAGTTATGGCCAAGGTTAAAGTCTCATAAAATTTTGCAAAAGTAGGTCAAACTCCAAGGTCAAGGTCAAAAGGTCAAATATGATGGTACCCAAAGAAAGGTCCTGTCACAAGGAATACACATGTGAAATATGAAAGTCATAGCTCCAACCAATCAAAAGTTATGGGCAAGGTTAAAGTTGACAGCAGACAGACAGACAAACGGACAAACAGATAAACAGACAAACAGACAGACAGGACAAAAACAATATACCCCCGGGATCTTTGTATTTTGTATACATGTACCTCATATATACCATTGTATGGTCTGAGAGAAATAAACAAACTTTAAGCTAGATTACGGAAACTTGTTTTGATAGCGGCGGCGTATCGTGAATTATTTTAGTCGATTATTGCAGCACTTCAGTTTTAAACACCTTACATGAGTTAATTTTACTAAAAGAAAGAAAAAAAAAATACTTCAAAATAAATTACCATTTTTCCGATCGATTAGTCAGTTAACCCTTGCCTTTCCTAGTGTTTTTGTCTCTTTTTCTTTTTGGTCTCTTTCATTCATCTTCTACTTACAAGTCTACCTTATTATTAAAAAAAAACAAAAAAACATGGAAATACTTTTTATATAAAAAAAAAAAATCTTGTATAATTCTTTTATTCAATTTACCTATAAATTACATTATTATCGTAAGTGACTAACAAGGGAAATAACTTCTCTTATTCCCATACGTGATCATAATAAAGCCTCATCCTAGGTTCAGAACCCCCGTCTCAGTGGCTGTGGATTTCATTATCTTGGAAGAAGCACTCTTTCCCATCATAACCGTGCTCTTAGTTTCTCTATCAAATACTCAAAAGCAGAGAAGATTTTCCAAAGAATTAATGAATTTTCACATGATCTATAAAGCCACTCTCAACCATCGTCTCATCTGTCGTTGGCTCGCGTACACATCACAGTGATAAGCACGAGAAATAGTGCATGTTTGCCCTATTTCTTGTTCTTTAAGGTAGATATTTCCTAAGTAACTACAACTATTAGTTTACTTCGAATTAATCCTTTGGATATCATCTTTTTTTTTACTTGTCAAAAAGAAGATGGGCGTGTTTGGCGTGTGATCTGCAGGAATCATGTGTACGAAACATTTATAGTTTAAATGTCCACGATTTGGTTGGCTGATCACAGCTGGACAGGCTTTACAAAGCTATGCACATAGGAAAATGCTATATTTAGTTTGAAATAACATAACAAATTCTAATATTTTGGTCTGCTTATCTTAAAAATCAAACCTTAACATAGTAATGCTTCACATAAATAATAAACACCTACGAGATAATAAGGATATAGCTAAATGCAATTGCAAGTACATGTGTATATTAAAGTATTAGTAGGTTCACTTGGAAGAATTGCTTTCGCTCTCGATGCAACAGAACCAGAATTTATCCATTTTAAAATAAATCAGTACAAAAAAATTAAACTGACAAAAGAATTGATTGTTTGCATTAAAAAAAAATATTAACGCTCCATGCGAGGATCGAACCAAAAATTTTTCGACTCCTTTGCACTGGACGGGTAACGCATATTACTGAGCTATCTTCGCTACGCATACAACTCGGGCTTTTAAAACAACAATGAAGCACCACATTTACACACTGGATTTTTTTTTTGAAAAAGTTCATTTTTTATGGTCTCTGGGCCTTCTCTCCATTTTTTTCAAATGATTATTTGTTTCTTTGAATTAGAATGCTTACAAATAACGTTTGAAAATCATGGAGAGATGACCCAGAGACAGCAAATTTTTAGCAAAACGTGTTTAAAAATGTGACATTTTGTACCAAATGAATCATCTAGCCAATTTTAAAGTTATTTTTTAGCAAATCAAAATACAATTTCGGGAAAATATTTCCCTTTCCTATTTCACAGGAACCCAAATGATCAAAAGAATGCTAAAATTTCGTGTGATAGATCAATGAATATTTCACTTTTCAAGTGCGCCCAGATTCCTGCCGAATGCCAATCAAAAGCGCCCTCGTTCTTTTGACGCGAGCCCATTGCAGAGGTGTCTGATGAACAACTCTGCATAGGAGATTGCCATAAGTCCTACCCTCAGGTGCCAGGAATTTCACAATTTTGGAAGAGGCACTCTTTCTCATCCTAACCAAGCACTTAGTTTGTCTGCTAAATACTCAAAGAGCAGAGATGATTTTCAAAGAATTAATAAAAGCATTTTCATTCAGGGGAACCCGGGCCAAGAATATTACAAATTTGGTAGAAGGCCCCTTGCTTATCATAATCATGTCAAGTTTGACAGTTTGATGTCCAGGAGTAAAGAAGATTATTAGAAATTGCATTAACTTGGGTTATAGCCCCTAAGCCTGGGCCAATGAAAATCATAATTTTTGTTTCCCTTTACCGGCCATATAAAAATGCTATAAGCTAAAAACTGGTTGAAATCAGTTCAGTGGTTCCAGAGAGGAAGCTGAAAATGTTCAAATGTTAACGGACAATGATGGATGAAAACAGATAGCAATAGGTCACCCCAGTGACTCACGTGATTAAAAAATCCAGATCAAGTAGGAGTTTTCTGTAATAGTCAACAGCTCTGCAATAGATATTTTTTTTAAATAAAGTTTGATAAAAATATCTTGAAAAGTGTTGGAACGTGGAAGCTCAAGGTCAGAAAATTTGGAAACTTTAAAGTTTGACGAGAATGATCTTGAACTTCATTTTCTTTGCATCTGATCTCAACAAGAAGTGTGAGAGAGACAGGGATGGAAGTAGAGAAGATGGACATGTTCCAGCCATATTGATGATGGCATTGGTAGATTCTGCTTCAACAATATTGCGACTTTTAAATGTCAAATGCTTTACCCCTAGCTTTGTGTCTGTACAATTCCTGTTCTTTAATTTCTTCATTGACCAGTCATGATATAATCAAAAAAAATTGTCAACTCAGGGGAAAGTAGTATTTGTTCAATACAGGTTCTAGATCCTACAGAAAAACACAAAAACCAAATGATATTTCCAGCAGTTTTTTAATAATTGTCTGTTTCATTGTCATTTTTTATAATTTGCATTTAATACACAGTTAATAATTATTGTGTTAAAAAACTTCTATACAGTAATAAGCAGAGGCCTACACATTGGGAGCTACAGACAGCCTGACTGATATGCAGTTTATACAGCGCCACATATACATATATACATCATCAACTTCACACTATGTACACCCTCAATTGCACTTAATTATTTTGATTCCTGGTATGAAGAACAACTACCTTAATGTATGCAGGCTCATAGGTCAAAGGTCAACCATCACATTATAACAATTTATACTCTATGCCTAGCACGATGTTTAAAAGAGTGGAATGAAAAAAAAAAAACATGATTTTTTTTCCATCAGATACTACTATTTTAAATATATATATTTATTCATTTCAAATTGGATTAAGTAATCTTTCTGAAATAATGATAAAAGTTTCTTTGGGGCCAGATTGAGTTTTGCTAAAATACTAAAACTTGAAACATCTTACTGGGAGTGAAGGCTGGTCTTTAGAGGATACTAAACTCAATCCTAGCAGGGTGGACTTGTACTTAAAGGTGTGCACTTTTTATTTAAAGGGGGTGGGGGGTAAACTTACTATTAAACTTGTGACCTATTTTTCTTAAATGGGAGATATCGTGCACTTTGATGGGGAGGGGGAGGGGTTAAAATAGACTTGGTTTTAAAGGGTAAGTCAACTTGTATTTAAATTGGCCTATCAGTATTACTTATATTTTCTCAGAATGCCAAGTTTGTGTTGCTGCTCATTGGTGATAAATTACCCAGACATTAAATCTTCAGATCAATCATACAGGAAATAGAGAAATGATTTGTTCTAGCGGAGGTAGAATACACAGAGAAGTTATGGCACGGTTCCCATGGAAACATGAGAACGGATGGCTGAGTGCAGCTGTACTAGAACTACCAGTGTGTGAAGGACACCCAGTCCAGTGCTAATTAATCTGTCACTGGAATGTAATGTGTAATGTTGTGTCCCTAGTCACACCTATCTACACCGTATGCCCATCTACGCACCACTCCCAATCAGTTATCAGGTCACCACACTGACCGCATAATATATTAGTTATCATAATTAATATAATTAATATTCTGGTACACACTATTGGGATAATGAATGACATGTAATGTACTATGAGACAAGCTATTGCATTGCCATTTAAAAACAAATTCTCTCCTAACTTCACATTTCAAATTTTTGTCCACTAGTTTTCTATTTGTAAAATGTCTTTTCAGATCTACAAGGGCTGGCATCATCATTCAAAATATAACATATAAACTAGTCTTACAAGTTGAACTATAGAATTTTTTTCCCTAAAAATTTTAAAAACATTGATGGAAACCCAATATATAATGAACAAATTAACTGAACTATACTTAATTGCTATTATCAAGTGCTAGCTTCATTGAAATATGAAGTTCAAATTATGTAAATACTAAATCAGATATTAGAAGCAAGCATAACATTTGAAAACAAACCATAACAATTCTGGAAGAAAAAAAGGAAATAAAGTGCTAGACTTGTTTACACATCACATGTCCTATCAATTATCTGTAAAATGTATTTGGCACAAAAAAACGAAGAACCATTCTGTACACATGGCAAATAAAAAAGAAACTGATATTTGCTTTGGTTTGTTAAGTACAGTCAGTAGAGCACCATGTACATAGGGGGGAGCTGGCCCATCTCACATCACTTGTGGGGGGGGGGGGGGGCACCTGTTGTTGTATCACATTAGATCAGACCACAAAAAAATGGAAGACATAAATTGAAATCCATGCTGATACTATACGTAGCAACAGAAAAATTAACACCAAGCCACTCATAAAAATCATAATCATTCGCTGTAAAAATTAACCATGTAATAAAAACTTAGTAAAACTAGTGGCCTAAACAGATGCTTTTAAAGAAAAACTTCTAAAAAATAGGCTTAATATATATATCTCTCTCATGTAATAATCACATTTCTGGGGCTTGATAAATACTGTGTGTAAATGACAAACAATATATAATTAGTTGGGATTACAGGGGGAAACATTATTATAATCTCTTGTGACAATTTATACAAAATGGACCTAGTACATGATTTAAAAACTCTCAGATCTTCAGTAACAGTAATAGGAAAACAACCACAGAAAACAGACTCCTTAGAGAGGGAAAAGATTTTGATCAGAGAACAGATCGATTTGATCATGATTATAGCCATGACACACATATACTAAACATTGAATATCTACCCTTCGACACTACACCACAGATTCAGAATGAACACTTGACACTTTTTTCCTAACATGTGATCACTGAAGCATGACGACAGCTGAACCATTAAGCCATGTATATTAGAAACAATGGAGGCTAAAATATGATGGGGAAATAACTCTTAATTGTACACTGCCACGCCATGTGTCATGTGACCATCCCCAACAGCAGAGTTCATGTCATCTGGCTATATCTCACAGGGAGTTCTGACAGGTGAGATTAATCACAGGTGAGATGTCTCGATCTCGGGCTCTTCCTGCTGGTGATGCTCCTCAGACAGACTTTCTCGGGCCGAGGCGCTGCTATAGGTACTACTGGCAGTGGAGGCCACAGATAAACGTGTGCCTGGCCGGTCAAATGAGATGTCCTACAACAAACACACACTATTACATACAATATACTAACGAAAATCATCAGTACACTAACTTAATCTAGTTAAAAATGAAGAATGAATATTAAAATCTGGTTAAAACATGATACTGTTACTGATGTTTAAAAACACATTTATAATTTAATGAAATGTAATGACTTTTATGCATTATTTTTCTTAAGTACTGTGCCTTACTTATCATAAAATAATTCTATCATTTAATTCTCTTATTTATTAGATAGGTAAATGTAATAAAATTAATACTTTTGCTGCAATATTAGACATGTTAATCTAATTCATTAATTCATAAGTTAGGCAGTGAACAACATGCCACCTGTAAACTGGAGATAAAAACTGTGAACTTATAATGATGACAGACTGGAGTTACTCATAAAATAATCGATGTACAATTATAATACCATAACAAACGAAAAAATGAACTGAACAAAATGTCTCATGCCTGTGAACGTGAAATGACTGATACAGAGAACTCTGGTGTAGCTAACCTTCAATGTCAGACCACATAGTGAATTGAAGAGCTGCTGTTAAAAGAAGATAGAGCCAGTCACTGATAGCTAATAAACATCATGCCATTTAAACAGAACATGCAACAATATGGTGGGAACAACTTATAATAAACAACATTTATACCCTGACAACTGAAATCTATCAATCAATCAATAGAACAACATTTATACCTGACAACTGAAATCTATCAGTCAATATCGATGGAACAACATTTATACCTGACAACTGAAATCTATCAATCAATCGATAGACCAACATTTGTACCCCGACAACTAAAATCTATCAATCAATCTATTAAACAACATACCCTGACAACTAAAATCTATCAATTAATCCATAAAACAGCATTTGTACCCTGACAACTAAAATCTATCATAATTGATAGAACATCATTTACGGTATACCATGACAACTGAAATGTATCGCACAAACAGACAAAATAACCTTTCCAAATAGACTGCATTATCACCTGTGAGAATTCTTTAGTTCTGCCATCTACATGTATTGGAGCTAATTAAATGTCTTCATTTATAAAGATTCTGCACATATATTTTACCCAAAAAATGAGGCAACAAAAACTAATCTGAATTGTTTTTTCATCACTTCTCTAAATATTACCAGTAAAACAATCTGTCCATTCTTCCTTAATTCTCTAACAATGTTCCATAACCCATCAGCCTATATCCACAATCCTATAAGCTTTAACCCTCAGCCTATATCCATAATCTTTTAAGCTATAAACCTCAGCCTATATCCACAATCCTTTAAGCTATAAACCTCAGTCCATATCCACAATCCTTTAAGCTATAAACCTCAGTCTATATCCACAATTCTTTAAGCTATAACCCTCAGCCTATTTCTACAATCCTTTAAGTTATAAACTTCAACCTACATCCACATTCTTATAAGCTATAACCCTCAAGCTATATCCACAATTCTATAAGCTATAACCCTCAACCTATATCCAAAATCCTTTAAGCTATAACCCTCAGCCTATTTCTACAATCCTTTAAGCTATAACCTTCAGCCTACATCCACATTCCTAAGCTATAACCCTCAGCCTGTATCCACAATTCTATAAGCTATAACCCTCAGCCTATATCCACAATTCTATAAGCTATAACCCTCAGCCTATATCCACAATCCTATAAGCTATATACTTCAACCTACATCCACATTCCTATAAGCTATAACCCTCAGGCTATCTCCACAATTCTATAAGCTAAAACCCTCAGGCTATATCCACAATTCTATAAGCTATAACCCTCAGCCTATATCCACAATTCTATAAGCTATAACCCTCAGTCTATATCCACAATTCTATAAGCTTAAACCCTCAGCCTATTTCCACATCATTATAAAAGTTACAACCCTCAGCTTAATTCTACTATTCAATAAGCTATAGCCCTTGACTTGACACTTTTTATCTAACCCACAACGTAAACCATGCTGAAATCATCTGCAGTGTGAAAGGAAGGGAATGCTAAGCAAACAAAGTGAGTGAAGCACGACAGAAAATGAAGACCTGAAAATCACTGATGCCATGAACTATCATAGGTAGCATTGGACACACTGCTGCTAACAGATCGAGTCCCCGGCGACACCGTGGTAACCTGTGGTAAGCAGAAGAATAAGCAGTTACTAAGTGATGTCACTGAACAGGTTACCCTGGCAACCAATTGTGTATTCAGTAATATAGGGCAATAGAGTCAGATTATATCTAGGTACAAAGAGTACATATAGCATGATTATGTATGTAATATTTATACGTATATATATAGACATTTCAGGGTTCGACACTAACGTTAGTCCCTTAGTCTCAGACTAATACATTTTCATTCGGACTAATAAAATATGTGGCTAATTAGTCCGAACGGACCAATAAAAATTTCTGAAAAACAATATGAATAAATTACCGATGTCCGATTCTCGACAACTTTTACTGGAAAACCCCGCGTGTATTTTTAGATTTCTAGCTTTTGGCGGGTAGTTACGCAATGCCGGGTCAATTCAGGGCTTAATTTTTCGACTGATCGATATGAAGTATAAGGTTTTAGCGATCATGATTTAATATGACACTTTTAAGAAAGATGTTGGACGTTTTGGATGTAATATAAAGAAAAAAAAAACGAGATCGGGAATACGATCGTACTTGTTGATTGCGAGATTTCAATGAATCGGTGGAATAATATATTTCACGTAAATACTTTGTTTATTTCAAAAAATAATACGTATATTAATTGTAACGTTAAATTAATGTTAACAAACATTGATGTTTCTTTTGGTTTTAGACGGACTAATAAAATCGCGTGCGGACTAGTAAAAGTAATGAAGCACAAGTCCGGCTGGACTAAAGCCTTAAAAAGTTAGTGTCGAACCCTGCATTTAGGCTTGCTATATATGAATTTAAAAGAAGAGGAAAAGGAAACAGTTTTCAATTATTATCCTATCTTTATTTTTTTGCAATTTCATTCCATCATATTTTGAATATTTCCTGCAGACACTACATGTATATAATTTAAAATACTTCTGGGATTTTTTTTTTTACTGATGTGTATATTGTGTTCTGTAATTAATTGCCCGTGGTTTGGGAATTCAATTTTTGGCAGTGTACATAACAGCTGTGATGATGAAAGGGGATGACATGGGGGGAGACGGCATGAGAAAGTGTCAAGCTTTAAAGCAGTTTTCTCCCCCCTCCATAAACTCACCTATACAATGGAGAGTTTCTACATGATAAATGAGAAATTAGTCAGCGGTTGGACCATGCAACATGGCACTAACATCACATATATACAATGGTATACTATGGTTTCTGTATTAGATGGTTCTATACTTATTTTATACATGAACATAAATTGGCTTACTTCAAATATATCCCTTCTATCATCAATGTACTAAAAGAGAGACAAACTCAGCTTAAGGTAAGTCACCTCACTTACATGTAGAAGGTAGTAAAGAAATAGCATCAATAAACTTCATCCCAAGAAATAAGAGCAAGAATAAAAAGTATTGATGGGGAAAATACTTTAAAAATATAATTAAAAAAATCTGTATCCCAGAAAAAAAACATGCATAAGAAGATGGAAAAAAAACCTATCAACCTCTAGCTTCAAATTTTGCTTATAAGCTGTTTTGGTGAGCCTCAATGTGTATTTATACCCTTTCCATAATACTTGGTAAGTGGGAAAAAAAAATTCCATTAAACATCTTGGTCCAGGATTTGTTTTTTAAGTAATTGGTTAATGCAGTTATTATTCCCATGAAAATTAACCCTACCTTTTTATTTTTTACATGTCTATCTGTAAGCAGTAGATAACGAATTTTAACAAATGTATCAGTAATTGTTTGAAGCAGGTGTTTGTCAAAACACTACAGGGTCTTTAAAAGTCTATCACTACTGAGAATAAGGAAAGATAACTCCTGCCTAACTACACACCTCAAATATGGCAGTGGAGAGATCTCCGAGAGATGACGTATCGTTAGACGTGTCGGGACTTTCAGGGTAGGAAGCTGATGGTTGACGAGGACTGTTGTTCATAGCTCCGACCTTTGAACTTGAATCACGCCTTGCACTTCCTGTTAACATCAAATACAGATGTAATGAAAAAACATTGTTCATCCCATGCATTTAATGATACCATTCTTAATTTCCATTGTTGAGGTTTCTGAATTTTTCAAATTATAATACAACAATTCAGTAAATATTTCATCTTATTAATAAACTTGACCATGGGATATGACTCAGGTATACACAGAACCGTTCTTTTGTACACATTTAAGTCTCTAGTGGGAAAAGCCCCCGTCTTTTCCCCTCCCCCACCTAACCCTGAATCCTAATTATTGACTCACCATTTGGATGTGACATTGATGTCCTGGCCCCCCTCATCTGAACTTCCTGAAGAGCTTTCATGGAGAATAGCTTGTTCTTTTGGCTTGGATCCACCCCTGGGCTTGTTGGCATTCCATTTCCACTCTGAGCACCCTACAGGTCACAAAGTCACAGATTTAAACTGCTGTATATGCACTTGTTTAGCCAATGATCTTACCGTAACACCCAACTAGATCTGTCCTCAGAGGATTAATACCAGTGAAATGATAGATATACTTTAGAACAGTTTATAAAAGAAAGACTCTGGTATCTCACAAAACAAGAGGCCCATGGGCCACATCGCTCACCTGAGCACATTGGCTAGGCAAAAGCACAAAACAGTTCAGTATCGAAAAGATTCTCTGATGATGCTTCCATGTCAATTTAACAAATGGCTTTGTTGTACTTGAGATAATTTTAAAACTAGATGCTGTCGTGAGACAGTAATACCCGCACTAAGGTGTTTGCCTCTAAATGCACACTCCTTCATATTGGGCTTACCAAGGAAAAAGTCCAAATAATTCTATAATTTACACAGTACATGTATTCGTCAAATCGAGCATAAAATGCTCAGGTGACCATGTGACCCATGAACCTCTTATACGCATTTCATATACTTAATTCATTACCAGTCTGAAATATCAGAATTTAATTAATGTTGTAAATTAGGTTTTAATAAAAAGGGGGGGGGGATATAAATTTTTGGCCCATAATTGGAACTTTTTAAATTTATCTTCTCAACAACAAATAATATTATTTTAGTACAAAGCGTTTTTGATGAATTTATCAAAATGTGCAAACTTTTTTTAGTATTTGATTAGGCAAAAACCTCCTTGAAAAGCCATACCCAATCAATTTATATGTGTCCCCCCCCCCCCCCCCCAATATACACACACACAATTTGCCTGTTTTTGGAAATAGGCCTAGATGGCAAAGTTATGTTAAAACATCGTTTGTTATGATAATTTAAAATTTGTTCTTGTACTGTACATGTATGTGAACACCTTTTTGAAAATTTCTACATCACATTGGGCTTGCGTCACCCTACCAGTACTAGTACTAGTTTTACCATTATCATTTTTAGATTGCACATGCCATGTGACATGGTGCAGTGTTACATGTATATCAGTGGAAATTAATTCATTTTGTGTTTTAATTGGATTATATTTCATGAAGTTGACAGGACCTATGACAGTCGGTAAGTACAAGTTTAAGTATAGATTGGGGTAAAATAAACCGAAATGCAAATGGTTAGGTTAAAGTTTAAAAAGGATCAAAGATCATCGGCAATCTCCTATGCAGAGTTGTCGTTCGTTTCTCTCTCAGACACTGAATGTATGAGCCGATCGTAGAGAGTGGATCATCGATGCCACAATAGACGAATTTCACATTCTGAAGAGTTATCTCCCGTTGTCGACATTACATTCAGTTACAGGCATAGATCCGGGAATTTTTTTCCGGGGGGGGGGGGGGGGGGGGGGGGGGTCCACACCTCGGTCCAAAAAAATTCCAGCCCAGAATTTCCTGAGGAGCAAAAAAAAAACAAAAACAAAAACAAACAAACAAAATAAAAACAATGATG